TCTTTGCTGTGAATCCATGGGTCTGGTACCGAGGAGGAGGCGGTAAGGAGGAAGACGAGGAAGGGGGAGGGGGGGGGGAGGAGGACGAGGAGGAAGACGAGGAGGAGGAGGAGAAGGAGGAGAACGACGACGAGGAGGAGGCGGTAAGGAGGAAGACGAGGAAGACGAGGAGGAGGGGGAGGAGGGGGAGGACGAGAAGGAGGAGGACGAGGACGAGGACGAGGACGAGGACGAGGAGGATGAGGAGGACGAGGAGCAATGAGAAAGCCCCGTCTAACGAGAAGTTCCAGCCCGGCATGTCGATCCTCAAGCTCAGCCAGTCAGGCGCGGCGAGCGTGCTGATGGAAGCCATCAGGAACGGAGGGAACGTGGACGAGAAGGACAGCTATGTGCGCCTCTGCTCTGACCTGCCTCCTCTCGATGATCCTCTCGCCAGGGCTCGTCAGCCTTGCATCGAGCAGCGCGCGGAGGGAACGAAGAGGCGGTCCGTGTGCTCCTGGAAGCCAAGGCCGCAGTTGATGCCAGGGACAGGAAGATGGTGAAAGTTGGACTTGTGCCAGCTAGCAGTGAAGCTGAGCGACTCTTGCGTTGTTCAGATGACTCCTCTGCATGAAGCATGCTCGGGCGGCCATCGGCGATGCGTCGAGCTCCTGCTGCAGTATCGAGCTGATCCCAACACCAAGAAGACAAACTCGAGCGTTACCAACGGAGGTTTCACCCCACTGTAAGAGATGTTACTAGATTGAGAGAGGTTACATGCACTAGATTGAGAGAGGTAACATGTAGTAGATTGAGAGAGTTTACATGCAGTAGATCGAGAGAGTTTACATGCAGTAGATCGAGAGAGTTTACATGTAGTAGATTGAGAGAGGTTACATGTACTTGATTGAGAGAGGTTACATGTACTTGATTGAGAGAGGTTACATGTACTTGATTGAGAGAGGTTACATGTACTTGATTGAGGGATGATGCACGTTCTTGGTTCAGAAACGTCACAAGTTCTAGATGTAGATGTCCAACCAGTTCGTCTTTGTCATGACTTGTCGCTTCCCAGGCATTTCGCAGCCTGCCATGGACATCTCGACTGCATCGAGATCCTCGTCGCTGCCAAGGGGGATGTGTGTCTCATCCTCCGTCCCTGTGCAGCGTCCAGCTGAGGGTCCAGCAGGTGTTGGGAGGAAACAGAGCAGGAGAATGTCCACTACATGTTGCTGTACGATCAGATCACCTGCCTATCGTCCGCCATCTCCTGGTGCGTCTGTCCTGACCCATCCTCCTCTCTCTTCCCCTTGCTCAGTGTCACTGTCAGTGTCAGTCTCCTTCGCCAACTTTGTCCATCCCTGCTCTTTCTTTCTCTTTCTCTGTCACTTTTCTGCTCTGGATGATTCCATGATTCGTTCTTCCTCAGGAAGCAGGGGTACCTCCGTTTGCCAAGTCTCACAACGGCAGAACTCCCCTGCATGTCGCCTGTCTCCATGGCAGGTGCGCCTGCCGACGGCAGCAGCAGCAGGTGTTTGCTCAGATCTCTAACAGGACAGAATGTGCCCGGGCTCTGCTGGACAAGGCAGCCAGCCTGGAAGGTGGAGCAAAGCGCTTGATGCTCCAAGGAGACTGCGGGGACTCGATCCCGCTGCATGAAGCTGCGGCGGTAAGGTCGTGAATCCTGAACCTTCCGATGACCCTCAGCACAGGGAGGGCACGCGAAGCTCGTCGAGTTGCTAGTCGATCGGTAGAGTTTGAGTCAGAGGTCCCCTCCGAGCAGGGCCTGACCATCAGCAAGGGATTCCCCCGTTGACAGCCAAGACAAGCACGGGAGGACCTCGCTGCTGTGTGCGAGTGAGGAGCGGCACCTTGAGACCGTCCGGTGAGGAGCAGAGGAATCCTTAGCTTCCTTGTCACTGCCCCGCCAGTTTCCTCATCCAGAAAGGCGCCCTCCTGCAGCGAGAACATCCTCAGGTCCAGCAAGAGTTGCCGCCTGTCCTGGGCAGCTGAGTCTTTGCAGGTGATTGCAGCGCTGGAGGGGAAGCCCGCTTCATCGATCCAGCCAAGTTTCCTCCAGCAGGTCCTCCCTCCCCACCTCCTCCTCCTCCGTAAGCACAGCCAGCAGGCTGTCGCGAAAGTCTCACCAGTGGCCAACGCGATCTTTCAGTCTCTTGAGGTTCGACAGGGTGGGGGTTTGTGTGTTGTCCAGTGAAAGACGCTGTAGGAAAACTCCAACAAAGAAGTCAAGGAGCAGGACGATGTTCCAACGGGAAAGCAGAGGAGGAAGGCGTCGAGACAACTGAGGAAGCAGAGAGCGCAGGAAGAAAACTTAGCCAGCACAGAAAACAACCCGATTCTTAAGTGAGAATGGAAAACTTAACGTGCATGAAGAAGTTCAGTCCTGATTGCCCTGGGGCAGTCCGATCTACGTCAACCGTACAAGAAGCGCTCGATCAGAAATGTCTCGCGTGAGTGTTTCGGTTCTCCAAGTTAACTAAAGTTCACAGTAGTATAATCTCTGTGGATTGAGGGGGTAGTGTTATCTAATTGCAGGGGGTGGGTAGCTGCTGTCCGTTATCAACGCCTGACGATGGCCAGTGCCAGGGAGGGAGGAGGAGGAAGAGAAGGAAGAGGAGAAGGAGGAGCAGGAAGATTAAGAAGAGAAGGAGCGGGATATGCATGGAGACAAAAGAAGGACAGGATAAGGACAAGCGCAATGGCGGAGTGTGGGAGATTAGGAGGAGGATGGTGGCAGAGTAGTAGGGGAGATTGTGAAATCTGTATAGAAGAATCAGAAGGCAGCGGAGAGAACGATCGTTATGACCATGACAATGACGTTGTTTGTCTTTGTGCACGTTTTAATGATTGTAAGATTTGAGGAGAAGACAAGAATATATATGTACAAGGGAATTATGTAGTTATCTTTGATATACCTCGAGAATAATTGAAGAAAATCTGAGGAGACCGAACAGAGGAGCTTCGACATCGAGGCATTCTACAATTTTCAGCTGTTTTCTTAGACATCTCTCGCTTGTACAAACCCTTGCACTCGTGTCTGATAATTTGTTTTTTTCTGCAGATACATCGGACGAGATTTGCCATTTCATTCATTCTTTTTGTTGAGTTCTTCGGGCAAGGGGAGTACCTTCCTTGTCCTCTGATGCCCTTCTGAGCAGGAGCAGGCAGATCGCCCGCACCTGAACATAAGTACGATGATGTCCAGTCCCACCAACGGGACCTACTCCTTCGCCTCCGAACCCCGGCCTGTGTCCAACAGGAAGCTCGCTCCCGACGTGGCAGGCGATGCAGAGGACAGAGTCGCGATCAACATCATGTGGGACAAGAGGGTCGTGCGTGGGAACACCTTGTCCTCTCCTCCAGTGCCTGCACGTCCCGTGGAGAAACAGCGGTCGTCGAGCCCGCACGCGTCCCCTCCCAACCTGCTGGGAACTACCCGGGGGTCGAGGAGGAGGAGGTCGAGAGGGATGAGCCAGACGCAGATCAGTGTGCCTGTGGTGGAGTGTCTGCTGGAAGAGATCACGGACAGACCTGTGGAGATTGTGTTCGAGGCAGGAGGGAAGAAGCTGGAGGACAGGCCGCCGTCTCCTCTCTTCATCCCCCAGCAGATCGGCGTCGACAAAGAGACGCAGGTGGAGCCTGGGGATCTGTTTGACTTCGATGCGGAGGTGCAGCCTCTGCTGGAGATGATCGTGGGGAAGACGCTGGAGCAGAGCCTGGCGGAAGTGATGGAGGAGGACGAGCTGCGTGCCAAGGCGGAGCGGCGAGATGACTGGGAGATCGTTCAGATGTCAGAGAGGTTCGAGTGTGAGCGAGTCGAGCACGAGCATACCAGGAGGGAGCAAGAGAAGGCTCGGAGAGCCGTGCAGAACAATCAGAGGGAGCAGGAGGAGGCAGCGCGAGACGTCAAGGTCGTCACTCAGAGCTTCTCGCACAACTGGGTTGGAGATGTGTTCTCAACGGTGTTTGAAGAGCTTAAGGATAGCGGTGAGTGGTCGGTGTGGAGGAGGAGAAGGATGGGAGGAAAGAGGCAGAGGAGGACGAATAGACGAGCTCGTGACTGTTTCGCAGGATTCTTTTATGACCCCCTCGTGCGTGAAATTGAGGAGGAATTCCTGCCCTGGCTTGCTGAAGGGGTGAGGAGGGGGAGGGGGAGGGGGAGGGGGAGGGGGAGGGGAGGGGGAGAAAGGAGGATGAAAGAGGAGGAGGAGGAGGGATGGGTCTGGGGGAAGTGGATTCAAGAGTATTGGGTATCTAGAACTGATGAGGATCACAGGTTTCAGCGAGCATACAGCACTATCATGATGCAGAGAAGCTCGTGGAGGAAGAGATCAAGAAAACAGTGAAGCTGCACGAGCAGAGGTGAGGAGGAGGGGAGGATGGAAGAGGAGGAGGTAGTGGGAGCGGTGGGGTATGGAGGGGGATGGGGGGTTGAGAGGGAGGAGGACATGACACGGGGTTGCAGACAATCGGATGCCCGGCAAGCGTATGAGAGGCAGGTTGAGGAGGAGAAGAGAGCAAGAGAGGAGGAGGCAGCGGAGGCAGCAGCTGAAGCGGAGGCAGCAGCCAAGGAATTGGAAGAGAGTGAAGGGAAAGAGCAGGGAGCGCCGCAGGAAGAGAACAGCGAGGCACCTGAAACATAAGAATGGTACACGACATGATGCTGTAAATGTATCCTCAACTCCCTTTTCTTTCCTGCTCTTTCCCAGCTCGTCTCCTCCTCTACTTTTTCCAGCTCTCAAAGAAACCTCCACGTCACGAGCACAAACTTGCGCGATCTCCGACTACATGTTTTATTGTAATATGCTTGTGATATGTCATTCTCCATATGGTTTGCTTCCATCCAACATGTTTCCGCTCCCCTTTCCCACCCACACCCATCCCTGCCAAGGTGCATATCATGAGAATGGCAATTACGATGACGATGCCGGAGGGTGGGACGAGGAGGAGAGGAGAGGAGAGAAGAGGAGCTGAGAGTGAAGGAAGCAAACGATGTTGACGAGGTTCAGGGAGGATCACGAGGATATGAGCAGTAGAGGAGACGCAGAAGATATCCCAACAAGAACTTTGAAGGTACCTCTTTCTTCCCCTTGTATCGATAGTTCTGAGGACAGAAAAACCTTGCAAACGGATTCTGCTCCCACAGTCACACCTCCACTCTCACCACCACACTCAGATCCTCCTCACCTGCGCTCTCAGCTTCACTGCTAACTTCTTGACCTCATCGCCTACGGGAGATCAGCCCCACCATGACAGCAGAAGCATGGCTCACAGAGTAGCTGGTATGAGTCTCTGCACTGCTTCGGCGTGATGCCGATGAGTTCAGGAATGATCTGCACCGCGGTAAGGAGAAAAGCGCTGGCGAAGAGAAGCGGGAGAGAGAAGAGGCTTGAACAAAACCATGCATATTAAGGAAGAAAGGAGGAAGGAGAGAAGGAGGGATAAGGACGTGAGAGAAGGAGGGAGGAAGGGAGCAAGAAATTTCTACCTGTTGTCGTAACTCTGCACTTTTATACACGTAATGACTGTCCATATGGTACAAGTTGTCGACACCTGAAAGTGTTCAGCATCACATCAGAACAATCATAAATACCCATCCTCCAAAGTTTCCAATGGCTCCATCCATACACCACTTTGCACATACTCGTGGATTCACCTCCGCATGCGACAACGCAACACAGCACAGCATCGCGTTCCATTCTTACTCATGACTTGGTCTCACCTCGTAGTGGAATCAAGTTCCCATCGTCATCATATAGGACCGAAACTGTCACCAGTGAACCATCAGCCTTGACCATCTACAATCCATCACATTTCACTTGAGATCCCTGAGCCCCCGTTGTAGATAAATCCGTTCTCAACAAGGAAGAGCTGCTTCGGCTCGCTGAACCTGCGCACATACCGCTTACTACATACAAGCAACATTTACAATGTTCGTACGTATCATCCTGCTCGTTCAGCAAGATCGATTTGTGCTGGAACACCATCGCACGTCCTGCCCTCTCACCCTTCCACATTCCCAGCAACATCTCCTATCGATCCCCGTCACCAGCTTTCATGCATGCTCGGAAGCCTTACATCCGGAAGCATCGATTTCGCACCACTTGCTCTACTGAGCTCCTCCAAGTGACGACCAGCAAACCAATAATCAACTTCCTGCAGCGCGTGTCATGCTCAAGGGAACATCAGGGCATCTTAAACCTCGAACTCTCCCCCACCGTACCTGACGTAGAGAATTAGCGAAGAGAAAGGAGGAATGCAATGTTGACACGACACGGTGCACGGCATACAGGAGCAGGATCAAGAACACAAGGGATAAGAGGAGCAGGAGCAGGGGCAGGGGCAGGGGCAGGGGCAGAAGCAGTAGTCTGCCTTACATGATTTGTGCTTTCGCCCTGCCATTAGATGTTTTGCTGACCCAGGCCCAGTTTGGAATGAAGCGGAAAGCCATAAACTGTTCGACCGATCCCTAGCAATCAACAAGCGTGAGAAGGGCAGGGGCGAGAGGCTTACATGAGCCTCACATGATAAAGTTGCAATGCGATCCCATAGCGCTTGTGGAAGAAGGTCGTCAGAATACTGCCGTCCTCATCGTTCCCCGTGACCGCGTCCCACCATTCGCAGGGGTCATCAGTCCCTTGTACTACACTGCAAAGCGAGTCAGGACTAGAGTCGTAGTAAGAGCTCTCTGCAACCTCAACTTGTTGTGAGGTTAAAAAAGCACGTGTCTAAAGCATCTGCCATTCTCCTTGTTGACCTCTCTCCTAGTCTCAACATCTCCCATTGCATATCATGGAGCTACATATACCACCAAATACCTTCACGTTTGACTTAACTCCCTCTCCACTCCAGCCCCGTTACCTTCCTCAACTCTGGCCCATGAAAATTTCCTGCATCAATCTCCTTCTATCCTCTCCCTTCTTGTCTCCGCTCCCCCGGCCTCTCCTCCTTCATAGAGATCTTACATGGCATTTTCTTTCTTGAGTCTTCTGCTTTCTCCTCTCATCACCTCGACGCCCATGATGAGAAGAACTAGCGCCGCCACGACGGCAGACCGACCCGCCATGGCTGAACCAACCACAAGAAGGGTGATTGTGCACTCAGTGTAGGTGGGGGTCCTTCCACTACCCCTGACTTCTCCATGAATTCGGGGTAATATATAAGGATGACTAGGGGGTGATACTCTTCCTTTACTGGGTACTCATTCCAAATGGGTAGGTCATGGAACCCCCTGGAGGAGGCCGCTGAGGTCAACCCACCCTTGCCTTCTCCCCTGTCAAGTACCGGTGTGTGACCAGTAATCAGAATTCCGGTAATAATCCGGCGATAATTAGTTGTCTTTCTTTTTTTATTTTACAGATTTTTTCTATCTTTTTGTTTTGCCTTGAACAGTGATGACTGGAGCATTTCGGCAGTGTACCCTACCCTACTAGTGTGCAAAGTGAGGGGCCATAACCGGTACTTTGACCAGGCTACATCTACTCGTGAGAGCGGCATTGGCCGGTGACCACCGGCGGGTGAGTCATGGCGGCCGTGAGTGGTGAAGTGGGGTAGGGGGTACTTTTATGGCCTATGGCACGGGGTTCATTCTGGGCTTTGAGGGGGGTCAGACGGTGCCAAGGTTGAGTGATCAGATCACCTTCCAGGGGTAGTGCAAGGACCCCACCTACCCTGGTCCTGCTGCAGATCCAAGAATGTGACGTTAAACGGTCTCTGTCTACTACCCCACCGCTCCATTACCCTCATCAGTACCCTAGCTAGTCAGAGCCTCCCCTCAACAGGACCCTTGCAACCTCAATGATAAGTACGGGTACTTAACAATAAACTGAAAAGACCGGTGTTTAGTACCCCATTCCAGGGGTACTAAGCAATGGGAATGTAGTACTCCATTCCAGGGGTACTACCAACATGGTGTAAGGGAGGACCCCTTCAGTGGTCAGAATCCGACCACCCTACCCCACCTCCTCATAGGAGAAGTTCCTCGGCGTCTCGCCAGCTCTTCCGCCGATCGCCATGCCCATGCCACTCCCTGTTTCCTCTGGAATGTACGCCACCGGTGCCCCCTTCGGCTCCATCACCCAGCAGGTGAGAAGAACCTCCTCTATCTCTTCGCATCTCCACATTTTGTTATCTTTCCATGTGTAAAGCTTGACATGTCTCTCGCTCTTCTTTCCTCTCCAATGTTTTGCACGTGTCCGAGCGTGATATGTCGGGTTGGCACATGAGTCTATTTGAGTTTTGTAATCGGATGACTTGCAATCATTCATAATCATTTCTCCTATTTGGTGGACCTTCATTTTGACCCGGTCAGGGGTAATGTACACTGACTGTCATTTTTAGCAGATGTACACCTCTGGAACTCAGATGTCTTACACCAACTACCCCATTGTGAACTCTGGCAACGTGAGTTGATTCTTTACACAAGGATTGCCTCTGATTTTTGTTGCAGCCCATCCAGGAGGCCGAGGTCGGAGCGCCAGGCACCCCCCTCACCTTCGAACTCTGCGAGAGGTTGGGTCTTCCTCAGGGAACTCTCTGGGGCAACAACGCTAGCGCTACCATGGCTGCCCCCGCCCCCACCGCAACCGGCTTCCTCCTCCCCGGCAAGGTTGCATGAAGAGTTATATAGTTTGAAGATGACATGTAGCTAAAATGATTAAACCCCGACTAAAAGATGCGCACATGGCAGATTCCACTCTGTGTTTTGCTGCTTGTACTCGATCATTCGTACCGGTTTCGCAATATTTAGGAACAGATAGAAGAGAAGATTTTGCTCATCACTCAAAATTCTCTGTAATGTCTGCGCTGTCTGCTTTTCTGGTAGGTAACTTAATTTTCATCGGCCGCCACGGAGGAGTGGGAAGGGCCGCCGTAGACGTACCTTAGCAAATTGAGTCATACCACTTTCTCATACGACTGTAGAACAAACCCGTAAGGGACATAGTCGGAGTCCGAGAAATCGGCGATGCTAAGGGGCTGGAAAACCAAGTGTCAACGGCCACGAACTTTGTAAGACGGTCTTACCTCTCCGTTGTGCCAAGCAGCAGGGTCAGCAGCGTTCTTTCCTCCACGGTTGCCTAACAGAGAAAGGAAGTAGAGAAGCAGACGTCAGTCTGCAACGCTCTTCACACAAACATCCTTACCCCAGAAGACATTGGTTCCAGCAAGAGCAGGATCCCAGCCCATGGCATCATTGACAGTCTCGTCGGGCAGAATCTTCGTTCAGGCTGTCACTTGTACAGGTGTGCAAGGAATTTCACCAAACCTCGGTATCCTCCCCATCATGCAAAGTGGTGTCGTAGTAGCCAGTCCATCCGTTGGAAGCGGTCACAGACCCTCGTCCCTTGAAGGCGTAGCCGACTTCATGGAAAGGTCATGACAACGGAGCATAGTTCACTAGTTGAACTTTCACACCTGATGGGTCGCTCTGATCCTCCCAGGCACCTCCGTTGGTGGGAAGAACCTGTAGCGACTTTAGTTGCCCACCAAGAGGGGAAATGGTGCAAGGGGAACATACGGTATCGATGTCCTGCCAAGCTTGATCTGGGCTGTACCAAATGTTTTTGAGAGCGGCCGGGTCAGCGTTGGAGTCCAATGGTCTTCCACTCTCAAGGTACTTGGCAGCATCGGAGCTTCCCAAGATGACGGGGCCTTTGAAACATACCTCAACTCAAGGTTCAAGAATCATTTGCTAAACTCACCTTGGTTGTTTCTTTGCCCCATAATTGTAACCACAGCCAAAGTGCCCAAGATCGCACTCGCCGAGACGATGAACCTTACAGTGGCAGCACGGCGAGATCTTGAAACAAACCTTCCACCTGCCTCGGGCAAGGAGCCATAATCCGAAATGGTCACCATCTCACTGAAAAGAAAAGTTTGATCAGGGCAACCAACCTAATCAAATGAGGGGGAATCCAAAGCTGAATTTAATGGATCAAGGAGAAAGTCTCTAATGTGTGATAGATAGTTTGCACCGTCTCGAGAGCCATACAGACACCTGAAAACTATGCTGAAACTCTTCCGAGTTCGAAGTTCCTGGTCCATGCCTACTCTTTGCCCTCATTTGCTTCCATCATCCATTGCAATTGAAATACTCAGGGCTGTCTGTTGCAAAGGTACGGCTATCATGTTGAAACATCAAGCGAGTCGCTCCTGTTATTCCTCTCCTCTCCTCTCCTCTCCTCTCCTCTCCTCAGCCTCCTCTCCTCTCCTCTCCTCTCCTCTCCTCTCCTCTCCTCTCCTCAGCCTCTTCTTCTCTCCTCTGTTCTCTTCTTTCTTCTGTTCTCCTGCTCTGCTGTGCCCTGCTCTCTCCTCCTCTCCTCCATGCGTCTTAAGTTTCCAGCCTCATTGACGCGAAGAGCCATTGCATCACCTGAGCCCGCCCGCCCTTCCAGTGCTGTGAAAAATAGGACAGCAATTTTGATATTCTATGTGATTTATTAGATCAAATAATGATTTTTCGAATTCTGTCCTCAAATCTCACCTATGTATTTGATGGGGCAGACTTGTTGAAGATGCGGCCGCACAGCGACAGACCTAAAAGATGGCTGAAGACGAACAGCCGAACAAGCGGAGAAAAGTGAGTGAGGAGGAGAGAGAGAGGAGAGAGAGAGAGAGAGGAAAAGAGGAGGGGAGAGGAGGGGAAGGGGAAGGGGAAGGAAGGGGGGAGAAGAAGCGGAGGGAGGGCAAGGTGTGGACAGGGAGGAATTGATAGATGAGAAATCACAGAAAAGAAGAGAAAGATAACAAGATCTAACCCATCACACAAGGGGGATACAAGGAGTGGAATTAAGGAAATGTTCATCAGACACAGCTGAAGTGATGCTTGAGGAAACACAGTGATGGTGAACCAATGTAGGACAACCAAGGAGTTAAAAACATCCCTGCCCATCGTGGAGCTTTCAAGAGACATCTGCGGAAGCACACCCTGCTGTAACCAATGGCAGAGGGATACCAGATGTCCTGACGCTGCTAAAGGTTCCAGCGCGAAGGGGGTGAATTATCGCCAGCTTTCCTGGTGACCTGCGATCAAGGCAAAGAAGCAAGGTTTAGATCACGATGGGAGTAATTGCAGATCAGTGTGACAAGGTCTCAGGTGCATCCAGTCAGCGGTGGAAGTGATCAAAAATGGAATCAAAGCTCTCGGAGGCGAAAGAGGCAACAGGTACAGGAGTCGGGCTGTCCTGGGATGGCGGCTGCTGAGGAGCATGCAGCTCAACGGAGGCAGGAGGATCCGACCACGCGGAGAATTCGCTAGAAAGCAGCGAGGATGCTGCGAAGCCTGCGACATCTAAGAGGACGAGAGGAGCAGAGGATTCAAAAGATAGTCCGGAGGAATCGAGCCAAGGACAAGGCAAGCAATCCGGCAAAGAGGAGGACACATGGGTTTGCGATGCTGGATGCAATGGAGTGGTAAGAAGGAGAGGGCAAGAGATTCTTCTTGATGTGTTTGCTCAGGCATGTGTCACCATAGAAAGGAAAGGAATAGATCCCGTCGCTATACTCGAGTATCTGTATCCTCCTTCTCCTTTCTCTCTCTCTATCGCTGAGCTCGCCTGTAGCTGGGAGCATGTGAAGAAGTTGTCCGAGAGCCACAAAGTACGTGCAAGTTTGATCCTCCTCCTCCTGATTGTCCTAGGAGGAGCTTCACAAATTCATCCGGCAACACAAGTTTTGTTATCGCTTCATTCCTCTGCAGGTTCTCGTCGCTCCTCTTCCTCCTCGATTGATCGATGAGTTTCTGGCCTGCAGAGGTTCTGCCGAGCTACGATGGACGACATCAGCTCGCTCACGACCGCATTCTTGAAGCTCGAGCTCGAGAAGATGGAGTCGACTTCCTTTTCGGTGAGATAGAGACGAAGCCGCACCAGGGTTTGAAAGGGAATTCATTTACAGATCATATGTGATGTCAGGAGCTGCAACTCGCTGAAGAAATCGGAAATCATCGAGAAAGTAGCCTTGCAGAACCTTCCTTCTCAACATTGAGCACGTATTAGATCGCCAAGGAGATCCCTGAAAAGCACAAGGTCCAGCTTTACAAGCCGGTCCGTCAACTCGCTCTCCGATCTCTCAGCTGACTTGCCATGGACAGGAAGTCGTCATTGTTGTACAGGTCGCCGAAGCTTCAACCATCTGCTCTGAATGTCCATCAGGTCATCAAGTCTGCCTGCGGCATGTCGGTAGTCAAGGATGCTGCTCGCTTCCTCAAGAGCCAGTCAGGCAACTGAGGCACTTGCTTGCAGGCTGACTGTCGCTGCAGGAGATCTTCCTTCAATCTCCTCCAGTACGCCCAGTCTCTCCTCGGGGGAGAGGAGGTTCCTTCTACCCAGGAATCGACATGACGAGAAATTTCCTCCTCAAGCTGCTCACTTATCGTTACCTTGACTTGCTTTTCACGCCATAACATTGTCATTACTCGAGGATTTCACGGTGTCTTCGCCCTCGCTGTCAAATCCGATTGCAGAAGAAGTTGTCAGGATGGTAAGCGCGGATGTCGTAGAAGAAAGGGTGCTGCAGCGCTTCCTCCGGTGTGATGCGCAGCATTGGATCAATCTGCCCCATCATCATCATCTCGACATCCCTTCACGCCTCATCGCTCACCTCCAGCATGTGCGACACGAGATCCCGGAAGTCTCTGTGCTCCGGTAGGATGCGATCGCTCAACGGCCACACTCGCATTACTGATTCACGCTGCGCCTGCGACTGAGGGACCGTCAAGTCGAGGAGGAAGAGAGGAGGGGGAGAAGGGAAAGAGCAGCACAGCAGCCATCGCGCGCAATAGAGAGGAGCATACCTGTGCCATCATCGGCCAGTTCAATTTCTGACCCCCGTCAAACATTTCTGCCACACTGAGCTGAAGTCAGTTCCCAATATGCCGGGCTGGAGGCGAACCTGTTGCCGAGCGGGATCCGCCGGACCATGTGGCAGGGAATGCGACCCGCGACCCTGAGGCAGAAGAAGAGGCTCAGAGGAGTCGGAGAGAGCGGGAGGGAGACCTTTGGATCATGGCCAGGTGCTGGAGGGTGTCGTGAGTGTTGAACGTGAGTTGGCCCTCATACAGCTCCTGCGAGCAGGTGAGAGGCGCTAGGTGGACGAGGCGGGTCGACCAGGAGGATGCAACCGACGCTCCACATGTCACAGGGGAAATTCCAACTCAGACCCAGGATGACCTGGCGGAGTTTCAACGTCAGTCACTCCCCCCTCCTCCCCTCCCTCTCCGCCACTGAACCTCGGGGGCCCTGTAGTGTCTCGTTTGAATCAGCTCACTGTGATGGTCCATCTCCCATGTCGCTCCGCCGAAATCGATCAGCTTCATCGAAAGATTTCAGCGAAGGTTCAATACAGGAACAAGGAGGAGGAGGAGGAGGAGGAGGAGGAGGAGGAGGAGGGGGGCGCAGAAGAGGGGGAAGGGAGGAGGGGGATAACCTTGATCGACACAGAAGCATCATCCAGCGTCATGGCCTCTGAGCCAAGGAGGATGTTCTGACACAATCAGTCACATGGACAATGATGGCACCAAGTGCCATGAGACCTCTGTCTTCAAGTCCGTGTGGATGAGGCGGATAGTCCGCAAGAATGCAAGAGCCTCGCAAAGCTGTCTTGCTACTTGCCAGATCACTGACATCTGAAGGACAAGACACGTTAGGAATCGCCTCCCAATTGCTATGAACTTCTCACCCTAGGCGCTCGCCCTTCATGTCTCATCTTCTTCAAGGCATGATACAAGCTATTTCCAAGAATTTCGGTCACGATGCAGAGGTGCCTGGATGCAAAAGTCACTCTCGGATGGAAATAGTTCCCATTGGGAGTCACCCATGATAATGGAAGTATTTGTATAACTTGACACAAAACCTGCAGGAAAAGTGACTTCATCCGAAGAAGTGAAGAGGATTTTGACCTCCCCGAGCGGTCGAATGTGGCAAGTTTGTCAAGGACCGCGACTTCATACTCAGCATCTTCAGATCTAAAGGTCATTTCTCAAGAGAGATGCGAGGACCTTGGACAACCTTGAACGTAGACAGGTACCCGACGAACAACCTTGAGAGCAATGTAATGTTGCCACTTGTTATCCCACGCCTGTATTGATTGAATGAGTCTGTGAAGAAGAAGCATCTAAATACTTTGAATACTGTTCCGAATGTTCCCTTGTCAATCAAGTTTGCAATATCAAAGCGGTCCAGTGATGTTATGTTCGCCAGGATGTGTCTGTTCATTGGTGTTACGCTCGCCTGGAAGGAGAAGGTTTCTCACCCATCCGAATCAACTGGAGGGGGCGATCGTACGCTGCTCCTTGCGAGTGCTGCGAGAACAGTAAGAGGCCAAGTAGTGCAATCATAGTTGTCAACCGAACGAAGGCTGTCTTGTTGAAGACAAAGTACTCTAAAGTAAACATGGAATAAGATCCAATGGAGAAAAACGACAAACAGTGAGAGATTTCTGAACACCTGTTCATGATTGAGAGAGCTCCTGCTATCTCCAATTCTGGAGTTTTCTGCTGAATCCATCGCTCGTGCATCTGCCAGTTGCTTTGCTTCACGCTTTTCCGAAATAATGTTTCTAGATCGCGGTGTTCCACTCGCTCGAGAAGTCGGCGCACTGCAACACAGTAAGACCTAAACAATTGCAGAAGTACACTCAGGATTTTACCTCGCGTATCCACATCTGGCATTGAAAGATGGTTTGCTCTTCAGGTTCATTCCTTTCCTAGCAGAGAATGTGTTCGCTCTGGCTCCATTGTCGTATATGCTCGCGCCATAGCCGTACGGAGGATCGAAGATTGGAGTGTTCCTGGCTTCCCCCGTGGGGCAATCGTCTCCTCTAGCTCGTTGATATCCATTTCCATCGAAGATTAACGAGCCAGATTCGCCAAAGTTGCTTTGAGGAGAATATTGAGCAATGCCTGGATTAAGGCCAGATGTTGTCGAGCAATCTTCTTGGCGTCTGTACCGTGATTGAATGAAAAACAACATCCCTTTTCGGTGAGCCCTCGAGGTTTCGGTGCACCCACTCGAAAGAAGAGTGAAGGCGAAAAAGACCACAAAGGGCTTCATTTCCCTTCTGTTGCCCAACATTCGGATTCCAACAACCAACAGGTTCCAAAACTTAGCTAGACCATCCGGCTTTCCACCATTTGGGAGATTTCTTGAAGGGAAAGACTCGGCTGCTGTCAGAGAGGCATTTCATACTGGCAAAAGCTGAAAAACAGTCAGAAACATTTCAAAAACATAGTCCTGGATTGTAATTATGTGTTTTGCGGACAAGTTCCATCAAACAAAGAAGAGAGAATGTGAGGGTTACGATTTGATATCACAGGCGAGTTCATGTAGCAAAGTTGTCACATCGTTGATGAGCTTGTGCCTCGTGGTAAAGAGCGACAAGCAACTAGTCATTAACTTCTACTATATTTGAGATGTGTGAGTGTGTGAGAGTAAGGCTTATGAGATGTGGAGCGAGTAAAGCTATGGAATATGAACTAAGAGCACTAGGAGTTATACAGGATGTCTTCCTCCACCCCCTCCCCCCCCCCCCCCGCCCCCCCCATCTTCCTGTTCCCTGATCTTTGCTATGGGGTTTATCAATTGCAGGGGGTAACCCCTGACCAGCCCCTGGCCTTCAGAAACAAGCAGCGAGATCAAACCTATGGCTCACAAATGTGTACAGGATATGTTGTCACAAGGAGAGATGGAAAGGTAGTCAGGAGAATGAATTTTAGGGAGGGTGAATGGGAAGGAGGCAGCCGGGAAGGCGGAGGCGGGGATGGTTGAAGGAGAGTAGAGAATTACAAGCAGTAGAGGCGGGGACTGAGGGATGCAATGAAACGAAACAGAAAAGAGTTTAGCTTACAGCAGTGAACGAGAGGAAGGAAAAGAGATTTTTATGGCGGGGGTTGTCAGGAAGCGCTCGAGAAAGGAAATGAAGACAGGGGAGGGGAGGTTAGATTAACATGTGTTGATACTGGTGAAGGAAAGGCAGAAAAGCAGGAAAAGAGGTTCTGATATTGTGCGCTATGTCCTGCTGACCTCTTATCTTGTGACCTACTGATGACTGCTGCTGCGTCATGACGGTACATGCCGCGGCAGTCCTGTTATGACCCTCCCACATTATGCTGTACCTCAACTTTGAAACTATCCGGGAAGGTATCCGCAGGTATCCGTGAAGTTATCCATACAGTGACAGGCCCGGGCCCGGCCCGGCGCCGCCGGGCACCGGGCGCCGCCGCGGGCGCTGAGCCTCTCCGCTTAGGCCGCGGCGGCGCCCGGGCGCTGACCTCTCCGCTCGAGTCACTGATGTCGGGCCTTGAACGGTGCTGTATAGGGGAAGCCGTACCACACACGTCATCAGTAGGCCGATAGTAAGACGGTCTGCAGCCCGAGATTGGCAGAGTCACAGAACTTGATCAGCCTTCAGTGAACGGTTGAACCGTCGGGTGTGGGGCAGTAGGGGCCCGGGAACCGGGGGGCCCCGGCCCTAATGATTGGCCGACTCGATCGGAACTGTGGGGCAGTCACGGTGACAGTGGCTGGAAGTCACTGCTAGTGAGCCTCAGTTCAAGTTTCATAAACAATGCATAATTGATCAAGGCAACGATGCATTTGAATCATGAGGGATGACGCGTGTTTGTTGAACACGTCAAAGCCCATCAACGTAGATATAAATTGTACCCATGCTTTTACTCTAAATTACAACCAATGCAAAGAAACTCGAATTGAATTATGCCCAGCTCTGTCCGATACATCGGCCAAGGTGTTTTTCATGGACATTGTTTGCAGGCTCGTCCTTCTTCCCTGTGCTGATTGACGTTTCAGAATGAGAGCAGAAGTGGATGAAGATGGAATTCGAGTCAAAGAGAGTTCATGGCATACGACACAAGCTCTCGAATGTACCACAGTTCACGGAGATCACATGGAGGCACAAACATGCAATCAGATCGTGGATCTGTCGTGATTTGTCGCACCATTGGAGAAGCATGGCAGGGTCAAGAAAACCACCCGTCTTGCTGTGACAAAATAGTGCAAAATGCGAAACTATGATCACATCATTATGATCACATCACGAAATTATGATCACATCATGAAATTATGATCAAACGGCATAAGATCGAATATAAGCTTTGACAAAAGAGTTTGTCATACCTGGTGATCTGAATAGTTCAGCTTCCTTCGTCCACAAGAATCTGGTGACAACACACGAAATGTAAGCATTGTACCCAAACGGGGTTGGTTCTCAAATTGGTGAGGCAAATGTGCTTCAGTCTATGTGAGAATTCTTTCTTCAGGTTTATAAGTTCAGAATCAAAGTTTTTTTTAGTGATTGAAGACATCAAAAGCACGTGTCCACCATGGGAACAGGTTTGTGTAATGCAAACATCAATCATCATATCCCCAGCATACTCCTCCACCCCCCGACTTTCACGTGTCACTCACCAGTGTGCTTCCCGAGGAAGCATCTTCGGCACGCGCAGTGGAATGTCCACCCTACCCCTTAACTTTGAGTAAAGAAGTGGCACCCCGGGGAATATGGCACCTACTACGACCCCCGGATCCTATTCATTACCCTGCAAACCCTACTCCCCCTACCCCTTTTCCTAGTCCCCCTAGGACCCGCCGCCTAGGACCGGATCACTCTGGCCCGCCCCGGGCCCGGTAATGCCCGTGGCGTTCAACGGTTATCCGGGATGGCGGCGCTCCGCATCATCACTGAGTTTCAAGCAAAAACCTATCGAGGTAACTTTTGGAGTCCTTCAACTCAAAGTTAAGTTAAAAATCCTTTACTCAAAGTTAAGTTAAAAATCAGTACGAGGACAATCAGGAGAGTCGAGGAGGCTTGACCCTGACACTGTCGCACAGGCCAAACGGCGAGAAGAGAAAACTTAAAATCAGTCACGGTCACCGACTTCGTTCCCCGCCCCCCCGCCCCCCCGCCCCCCCTTTCGTTTCCTGTCACATCCCCGACGTTAGGACTTCACCGACCTGATCACCCCACCCCCACATTGAGGCCGGCTGAGCCCCCTTCGAGTCCCCACCGCTCCCCTTGGTGGCCCCGTACCTGGCCTCCTCCGGCAGCCCACCCGCCAACTTTAACCACCCCGTCCCGCCCCCACGGAAGTCACAATCACGACAGCTCCTCAGTTTACAATGTTAAAATCCAGCCGTCACAAAACCACGTCGTTCAGTGTAGATGTGTCCCTCGGCCCCCGCTTGGCAAGCAACGAAATCTTAACATTTCGCATAATACTATATGAGCAGATACGACCCGGTTAATGCTCAAGTACGTGACTGCAGGAAAAGGATTCATTTCAGCCATGGAAAGTCAGAGTGCGTTTTAGCACCCCAAGGACGGTACCCCCGCTAAAGATTGGGAAATCACGGGTGCATTGGGATAGGTCTGTCAATGACTGCCTGGTGCAGTACCTGCAACCAAAGTACAAGTAATTTTATTTCACTGTCAGCGTGATGTCAAAAGTAGGTTTTTCGTTTTACCAAAAGCTAAACTTTGGTACCCTGACCACCCCTCCTTCCCCTCCAAATAACCCTCCCCTCGAAGTACCCAACCTGTGTGGTAACAAATGAGAGATAGCACCTTCCAGGTTGGCCTCCAATCTTCGCCTCCTCTGACCCCACCCCTACCCCCTTTTAATCATTAGAGTACCCAGTCGAGGCAGTGCAATAGATTGCACTCCTTCCACCCACCTGTTATAGGGGAAAAGAACCCTACTGTTGACGAACACACATCGTGGTACCCTACCCTGATTATGACTGAAACAGTACCCCTCCAACGACCGGAACTGCGCCCTACCCTCGATTGCCCATCCTGCTCTACAAACTCATCCTGCAATCTCGCCTACCCACTCGCTTCCCCGCAACATCGCAGATCTTTACCTTCTTTACTCTCTTCTACCCTCTTTTGCTCTATCCATCTCTACCTGGACTATAGCCCAGACCTGTTCCTCCCTCCGGACTTAATTGCTATCTATTTCGTGCAAACCTCAACTCCTCCACTTGCTTGAATCCCCTCTCCTGCAATACATGTAAATAAGCCTCCCCGGCTTTTCTCTTTCCTGATTATCTCTTCAAAGCTTTCGACTCTCTTCTCTTCATCGAACCCCATCGAATTCTCAAAGCAATGGGAAATATCAGCTCGAACGATCAAGCTTACGGCAATTGCAGAATCGATGCTCTCTGCGAGAGTTTCCTCTCCATGCAGCAGCTCCGTGCCGAGAGGCTCCTCGGCCCCATAGACTGGCAGGACGACGACAGCTGCGAGATGCACAGCACAATGAACACCATCAATAACTCCCTCATGCACGCTGCTCTACAAGACGTCGAGTGTACAAGGAAACCTCGCAGACGGCGGAACAGCTGCAGGGTAGCCTTCAGCATCCCCGCCGACGAGCCCGCCAGCTCAGACAGGCCCTTGACAGTCCCTCTGACCAAGACGTTCAAGGCGACCTTCACGACCTTCTTCCCCAGGACCCGCAGCAGCGACTCGATTCCTTGCGAGACATCCGCTAATGTCGACCTGGACGAGAGTGGGCTCAACAGCCCTGCGGAATTTGAGGACTCCAAGGTCGCCCTGCTGAAGCAGCAAGGTGCCAAGCTCAAGAGAGCCGCCGCCTACGTCCAGGAGCGGATCAAGTCGCTGTCATTGCCCAAGGCGGTGGATGTAGGGAGCTGGACGAGGATGGAGGTACAGCAAGCATGGATGGAGGGTTATTGAAAGGCAAATGGACTTGTGGCATTATAGTAGCTCTGTATTGTAAATGATGTAAATACACTATTCTTTCTATCGAAGTCAAGGAGCGCCGCAAAAATCATTTGAGGTAATCGAGAGTACTGATAGGCAATGTGCCACTCCCTGGGGTGGAATGGCAGCAGAAAACAAGGTCCTTTTGCGTGAAAATCCAAGCGCTATTGCAATACGAGCTATATCGTGTTAGAGCTGGGGACCTATCATCTCTACACTTTCAAGGTGTTGCTGACGACGATGTGGGAATGGCACTAGACGGTCGCCTTTTTTCGGTGCGGTATCACACTGTTGGTGCCATCCGCTACTTGTTTCGCTGCAGAAGTTGATTTACAATTCAGCCATGCTGGCTCGATGACAAATTCCATTCATTACTTGACATCGTGCCTGAGAGGACACAATGATAGATCAAAAAGACTTTGCGATCTTGCACCTGGCTCGTCACGTAAGGAGATATGCCAGTATTGAGCCGAGCGTACCCTGCGGCTGCTTCGCTCTGTACGAGGCTTGCGGGGAGACAGACTCTCCGGCAAAGTCTTGTAGTGCAGCGTGTGCTCAAACAGCCTCTGTGAGATCACACATTGCCAAGAGAACTTATTTATTCCTTGTTGACCAGAACATTTCAATGAGCAGAGCAAATGTGCTCAAGTAGAGATAGACAAAGTCTGTGAACCATCAAAACCCAATGAAAAATACCTTTACAACGTGTCACAGCTGCTTTCAGATTCAAGTTTATTCCAGATGAATTGTGACCTGTGTTGTCCAGCACATCATCCAATGCTTTGTGTTTGTGATGCATGATTTACGCCGACGAGCAAGGCGACCTTGACGACCTTCTTCCCCAGGAGAAGGGCCAGGCTGTAGGGCCTGAGGAGCGGCTGATGAGTGTCATCGTCCGTCGTGCATTCTCTCAGTTCACCGAGTTTACTCAAAGTTAAGTTAAAAATCAGTACGAGGACAATCAGGAGAGTCGAGGAGGCTTGACCCTGACACTGTCGCACAGGCCAAACGGCGAGAAGAGAAAAGACAGCGAGAACCAAACCTAAACCTGCCGAGGCTTTCACTGCCGGGCGCGACAGGATGCACTGGGCATGGGAGGGGGTGGGTCATCTCAGTGATCACCCACTTCACTGTACTGAACCAAAAAAGAACTGATAACCCCACCCCCCTCCTGTATCTATTTATATGACTTTTTCACTGGGTATCTCGATTAGCACCACTCGTCTACATTTTTTTGCTCCTTCACCTCCCAAGTGCTGCTAGCGACGCTTGAGACGCATTCTGTCCCTCGACCCCCTGCCCACCGATCCGCTCCAATTCACCTGTCCTCTGCTCTTTGATCTTATTGTTGCACGCACATTCAAGCAAAACAACCTTCAAGTCTGGATACATCATCCCTTCAAGCTCGCTACAAAGGTACCATTCGACTCTCAACTACTTTCAACATTACAACGATACTCGTTTCATCGTTGTATCTGATCTTGTAATATGGGAAACGTCCCCGCTCACCAGCCCCAGCCCCAAGCCTACGATTCCCTCAGCATGCAGCAGCTCCGCGCCCAGAGGCTCCTCGGTCCCATAGACTGGCAGGACGACGACAGCTGCGAGATGCATACCACGATCAACACCATCAATAACTCCCTCATGCACGCTGCTCTACAAGACGTCGAGTGCTCGTCTCCCCGCAAGCCTCGTACCAAGCGAAGCAGCCGCAGGGTAGCCTTCAGCGTCCCCGCCGACGAGCCCGCCAGCTCAGACAGGCCCTTGACAGTCCCTCTGACCAAGACGCTCAAGGCGTCCTTGACGACCTTCTTCCCCAGGACCCGCAGCAGCGACTCGTCGGTAGCTCCTCGGAAGGGCTGGGGCAGGGCGGACCTGGAGGAGAGCGGCGGGCAGGAGGACTCCAAGGTCGCCCTGCTGAGGCAGCAGGCAGCGGCCAAGCTCAAGAGAGCCGCCGCCTGGAGCTGGACGAGGATGGAGGTACAGGTGCTTTAAGGGCCGAATCCTCCTCACATGTCCATCCACTATTACATCTTTCCCCAAATTCTACCACATAAACATATTTTGAACTCTGCAACGCGAAGGAGATGTTCCTTCCCATTCTTCATCCCCCTGTCCAGGTGACGAAACCAGCACAGCATTCCTCTCCGGTGTCCCCTCCCTGCTCACTTCTGCACCTTGCTCGGAATCACTCTCATTCAATCTTCCATTCGAGCCACCTTCCGGCACTAGGTTGCTCACCCCCTGCGCCATCAAAACTTGGCCTTCTCCATCCAGTGCCAACAGGAAAGGTCGCATAGCTTCACCCACGGCGGTCTGCACCTGCTCCCCTATATTGCCCATCTGCTGCACCTGTTGTCCTATATTGGCCACCTGTTGCGTCAGGATGCGGAGAGCATCTGTGAAGTCCATGCTTCCAGATGTAACCTGCTCTCCACTGGGACCTGGTACATCCCTCATCCATGCGGCAGCAACACAACTTAAATTCGTTCGCACTTCCTCCCTGATTACAGTCTTGAGATCGTCAAACTTGTGCTCGAGTTCTTCCTTCATTCCTTTCAAACTCGTTCGCACTTCCTCCTTGATTGCATTTTTGAGATCGTCAAACTTCTGGTCCAGTTCTTCCTTCATTCCTTGCATCTTCCCATCCATCTTCTCCTCAATTACCTTGATCTCGCACTTCAACCCTCATCTCGTTCATGTATTTCAATATTTCTGTCTTTGTTGGAGTACCACTAGCTGACATGCCGCGATGGGTACATCTGTGCGAACACACGATGATATGCTCTCGGCATGACATGAGCCTTGCCATACTGCCTTGTCCAAACATTCCGAACATCGGCATGCCCCATATGTCATCGTCGCTGTGCGGAAACCATTCTTGTAGAGTTGGAAGGTGCCATAAGATACTTGAAGGAAGAAGCGGATACATTTTTTGAAATCCTGCCGGGAAACTGCTGTAACCTGATATTAAGCTCTGCCAGCCGATCTCTTCTATTTGCTTCAATCCTTCCGTTGTGAAGTGGGGGGGAAGTACAGCAAAGTCTGCGGTTCCGCTGTCGTTGCCAGCAAGAATCCTGCCAGCGAACTTGTCTCCACCCGTTCCACCAAGGATATAACGATCCTGCGTCTCTCCTGCAACAATTTTACTTCTTATCCCAGTTCCGCAAGCAGACATACCTATCTTCCAATTGGCTCGGATATACACTGTTGGAGCTCCTGGCATCAGTCCTGTCACTAACAACCGGCTGACAAACAGCACTGCAAGTCGCACCGGGACCATCCATCATACCCAGCAAATGGGTGATTCCTCCCTTCCGCAATGAATGGGTCCCAGCATTGTCCAAGTTGCCATGCTGGTCCTTTGCAGCTTGAGATGCCATGCGTTGCATCAGCCGTGCATACCTCTGTTTCTGATCCCGCCCCATCAGCAGCTTGTTTCCCTCCCTGGCAAGGAAGACGCTTCGAGTGGCAAAGGTGTACAAAGCAAGAGCAAGGACTTGACATATCTCTGGATTGTAGGGTGCGGCAAAAAGATGCTTGATCCTGGTGCTTTTCAAGTCAGTCCCAATCCCGGCTTGGTCTGTTTTGGTGCGCAAAAGTGAGCACCACTTTCATGTAATCATTCTCCCAATCAAAGTGCTGAAGATGCAAGATGTCAAGGCTCTCACTCCTGCAGATGAGAATCCACATGAAACATGTGCATGTCCATCCAAAAATCCACGTGTCTCCGGGTTCTGTGCTACCTCGACGAGGTTTCACGTTCCTAAACGTTGTGCATAGGCAGATATACTCATCCATGCTTATCCTTGTTCTGCCTTCATGAATGCGCATGACTCCTCGAGATTTCTTCTCCGTAACTGCTTTCGTGTAAGACTTCATGCAACGGTCCAACACCTCGTCTATACACATTGCTGCTTCTCCTTCTGGCACTGTCCCTAGCTACAAATTCCACGTTTCTACATTGCTACAGGTACTTCAACGCCCTTTTGTAACCTCGTATCGTAGGCACTGCTACTGTCGGTTTGTCATCATTGCTGGTGGTGCCTGCTTGTTCTTCATTTGACTGTAATTCTCGAAATGCCTGGATATTCAAAATCAAGTACTCCTGAACCAATGACCCCGCGATCCTGGAAGACATGTAATAATTCTTCGTCAGATTGCCCACCTTTCAGACTACTAGCACAAAGATGATGTAAGGGTCTGTTGCAATACTGGTAGACTTTCAACTGAGCCTCAGGTTGCCCTCGCATAACACATGAGGCTTCATACAAGCATGTCTGCCCAGCCGGTGCCGACATTGTTTGCCACGATCCAAATGTTCTTTCTGATATGGGTACTTAAGATTGTGGTGGAATCTGTGAAATTCTGTGTTCTTGGCAGTGTTTCACTCTGATGATTATGATGGCAACGAAGAAAGGTGCTCATCGGAACCGCTCTAATTCCGGTTTGCTTTTCTTTTTCTCGCGCCATTCATGGCTTCTACACATACATGCTCGTTTGGCTATCAATTCAAGGTACATGATGAAAGCATTCGATTGTATCAATGATCAAGATGCAAGCCTGATGTGCCATCATCTTTGCGTGAATGAATATTTTGATTCGGAAGGATACACCAGCTGTGAGTGTGAGCAACGTGGGAAAACAGCCCTTCCATCAATTTCTCAAGATGCACTTGCTTGCAACAAGCCATGTAGAAGGATCTAATTATGGCACAGAGTGGATGATGATGATGATGATGTGATTTTGATGATGCTGAGGAAGAGGTGGTGGTGGAGCACGAGCTGGAGAACATGCAACAGGACGAGGACGAGGACGAGGACCGTACGAAGACGAAGGTTGCCTTTGGGGAATGTGAAGAAGACGAGGAAGATGTAAGGGGGCAGATAGAATCAGTAAGTGGAATCTGTAAGAGATTGGATGGGAAAGAGATTGGATCTGTAAGAGATTGGTCAACCCGAAGACCTCCTATTGGAGTTCGGTAAGCCAACTGATTACTTTGCTGGAGTTGAGCACAAGTTTGCAGTCCAACCCGTAGTTAAGAAGATCAAGAGTTGCTGGAAAGACGGGGTCGGTTTCTTGGTACATGAGGAAATGCTCGCACCAGCAAATGTCTTCGTTGCTGATAATGAAGAAAAAAGCTACTTGAAGTTTCAGTCAAACATGTCTCTAAGGTCTGGCGTCAAGCATGTTTACAGAAGGAACAACCGCTCAAAGACTTTCGGTGGAAGATTGATACAAACATATATTGGAGTAGATGAGGCGGCAGTGGGTGTCACGGGATGTCATCTGTAGGTCCATGAACACGATTCAGATCCTGCTGCATGCAACACATCTGATGGCAAGATGATCATATGTGCGTTGGTGTTCCGAGCCTGGAGGATTTGAAACGCAAGGTTGCAGCAAACAACGATTCAGTCGCAGGCATGCTGAAGGAGATTCCGGAGATAGGGCAACATGCGACAGAACACCAGGAACAGGAAGAGGAACCTGACCTCGGAGACCTACGTCCAGGAGCGGATCAAGACGCTGTCATCGGCGAGGTAGGAAGCTGGACGAGGATGGAGGTACAGCAAGCGTGGGTGGAGGGGTACTGAGAGGCGAGAGTAAGGGAGAGAACGGGGAGGGTCTGTGATATAGGCGAGGGCTGTAGCGGTGTGTGTGCGAGGGATGTAAATAAAGCGCTAGGAGAGCAAGGCGGGAGCACAAGCGTTTGACATGTTGTCTCCGTGATGCAAGAAGAAGTTGAGTTGGGGAACTTGTCCCACATCGGACTTGAGCTGGACATGCTACCGCACTCTTCACGCGTGTCTGTTGGCTATCGACACTTTATCTACACCCTTCGACTTGTCTACAAGCGATTCTCTCACGTCCTCTGCAGTTCCGTGTCCTCGCCTCTCAGTACCCCTCCACCCACGCTTGCTGTACCTCCATCCTCGTCCAGCTCCCTACCTCCACCGTCGCCGGCACCGATGACAGCGTCTTGATCCGCTCCTGGACGTAGGCGGCGGCTCTCTTGAGCTTGGCCGCTGCCTGCTGCCTCAGCAGGGCGACCTTGGAGTCCTCCTGCCCGCCGCTCTCCTCCAGGTCCGCCCTGCCCCAGCCCTTCCGAGGAGCTACCGACGAGTCGCAGCTGCGGGTCCTGGGGAAGAAGGTCGTGAAGGACGCCTTGAGCGTCTTTCTCGGAGGGGCTGTCAAGGGCCTGTCTGGGCTGGCGGGCTCGTCGGCGGGGACGCTGAAGGCTACCCTGCGGCTGCTTCGCTTGGTACGAGGCTTGCGGGGAGACGAGCACTCGACGTCTTGTAGAGCAGCGTGCATGAGGGAGTTATTGATGGTGTTGATCGTGGTATGCATCTCGCAGCTGTCGTCGTCTTGGGGCTGGGGCTGGTGAGCGGGGACGTTACCCATCTGTGTGAGGAGGTGATGATGGTACGGCAAAGGGTGAAAGGGGGCTGGTGAGCGGGGACGTTACCCATCTGTGTGAGGAGGTGAACTTGATCTGTGAGTAGGAGCTGCTGTTGCAAGCCGCCTTGTATGTGATGGTGATAAACTCGATTGACAAACTTGATCTGTGAGTAGGAGCTGCTGTTGCAAGCCGCACGTGGTAGCCAGGGGTAAAGCGGCAGGACGCAGTCATCAGGACACACGATTGTCGAAGTACCCACGTTTTCGCTTCAGTCGCTCGCGGGAAAGGGGGGGTAGGGTCCTTTGGAAGCAGGTGGAGATGCCAGGTCGCTCGTTGTACCGTACTCGGTACTGTCCGAGTCGGGTTCCTCAAGACATGTTACTCCTAGGGACTACCCCCATCTACACGCTTCTCTGTACCCCTCGTTACAGGAGTACCGGGCCGCATTCCGTCGAGTCAACCTGATTGAGATGGCGCGATTTTCATTTGATGACTCTCGATGACAGTAGATGGCTGACCTCATTCCTCAGTCCCAGGCAGTCCCCTTTCTTCCTGCCATCCTCTTCTACTTCGTACAACAGATATGGATCCCCTGCCCGCCCCAGAGCTCCTGCCCTCGTCCTCCCCTTGACCCCGTCTTGACGTGTCATCCGCTCAGGTCTCAGATTGGTGACGTCCCCGCTCACCAGCCCCAGCCCCAAGACTACACAGATTCCCTCAGCATGCAGCAGCTCCGCGCCAAACAACTTCCTTGGCCCTGACAAGAACCGCAATATTGTCGCATTGCCAGGTTTTTGAGTGTTGTTGATTCGAAACTCATAATCTCCTGGGAGAATCTCATGCCCCTCGAATCTTTCGCTCCAAACGTTGACGACACCAATCAACTGCCATCACCAAGTACGGCATGATTTTGTGTGTTGTTTTGAAAGCGTCGATATCGTTACTGGCAAACATCACCAATTCAGAAACTACATCTGGCAATCACCACAAGCATGTAAGTTTGAAACTGCTCTTTCGACATTGCATATCGCAGAGAACTCATGCTCTGATGTTTTCTTTTGTGCTTGATACAGAGAGTCGTGCTTGCTCACTCAGAATCCTTCGGATGATTTCGCATCGGGTGTTGCCATCAAGGGTTCTGAACGTTTCACAAACTGTCTGAATGAACAGCTCGGAGTCTGCGTTGGTGTGCTTCTTTGGGAGACATGGATCAATATGCTCATCCGACAATTTTGCATATCTTCAGAATGATCACACTACAGAGAGGGGAAGAAAGCAACATCACAGACTTACCGCGAAAAGTAATCGTGAATCGTGGATTGTAATGAATTCAAATCTTCGAAATGTGAGGTAGACCACTTTTCGATTCGGGAAAAAGAGTTCGATGCTTTCTGTGCATATTGACAAGCTGTGTACGAAGTCGATTTAAATGCTCATACATAGCAGTGGTTCCTGCATGTGGATTTCCAGATGCTTGTGTTTCGAAAACCTTCGTGTAATAGTAGAGAAAGCATTTCGCAAACCCTTCTGATGTATGACCGTAAACATCTCCAAGGACTTTTAGCTTCTTTTGGACTTCAAATAAGGATACAGAACGAAGACTTAACTTCAGATGCTGGGTCGCTGAAGTGAGAAGATTGTTGTCTTCACACTCAAAAGACAAAGTTGCATGATAACCGACATTTTTTATTGCAAGAAATCCAACAGCTTGAAAACCAAGGTATCATCCCACTTCGAGAGAAAATCCGCTTAGAATCACACTCATCCTTTTGGGTTTTGAATAAATGTACACAAGTTGTGCAAACAGGCACACCTTGCCACCTTCGAACACTGGCCTTCTTCCTTGGTTTTTGGCATGATTGGCATGTTTCGGTCTTCCGCACCTTCGGCTTGCCCATGGCGAGGGGGGTCACAGGTTTGCCCGCCAAAAATCGGATTTGAATTTTGTTGTGATACCCTGCCATGGCATGCGGCAGAACCCCCTGAAAAAACTGCCATAGCGCCCCACACAGACCGCATGGAGGCGACAAGGGGGGGGGGGGGGGGTATTTAACTAATTATTTGTACTGTTTACTTCCCGGTCCAGGGGTTGACCCGCCTGTCAGCACCTATCAAATGGACCCCTTCCCCCTCCCCGTTGGACCCCCTCCGCACTCTAGAACTAGAACGAGGCTCTATGGTGAGGTGGTTGGGGTTCCCTCTTGGGACTACCTCCACCACCCTCCTTGGCTCCGTAGTACAGTCCTCGACCCTCATCAGTCCCCGACTCACAGTCCCCGACAGTCCCCCTCTCCCCTCCCCCACTGCTCCTACACAGCTGTAGCTCACCCAGCCCCGCCCCAGAGCTCCTGCTCCTGCCTCTACCTCGTCAATCCTTTCACCCTTCGCCATAGCGCCGTCTTCATGTGTTTTCCGCACAGGTCCTCAGAAGGATAACTTCCCACCATTCATCAGCCCCAGCCCAAAGACTCCATCCATGCTCTCCGCGAGAGCTTCCTCTCCATGCAGCAGCTCTGTGTCGAGGGACGATGACAGCGGTAACTTGGAAGTTGAACTTCTGTCAACGACGAGATTGATCAATAAGCTTGTGGACGAGGTGGAAACAGGAAAAGCCAAGACAGAGATCTTGATGACACAAGTCTCTTCTTGAGGGGGAAGACACATACTCAAGATAACATTCCTTACCCCCCGTTTCTCCACGAGATTTTGAGTTCATGGCAAGGGTGGTATAAAGTTGATTAGCCTCGATGTACACAATCCTCCCCGACAATCCCCCTGCCCCACAACGCAAATCTTGCAAGATCTGCTCCTACACAAACATAGCCTACAATGTAGCCTACCGGTCTATCCCTTGCAGAGGGATACTGAGAGGCGAGGACGCGGACTCTGCAGAGGACGTGAGAGAATCGCTTGTAGACAAGTCTAGGGGTGTAGATAAAGTGTCGATAGCCAGCAGATGCGTGAAGAGTGCGGTAGCATGTCCAGCTCAAGTCAGATTTGAACAGCAGAGCGTGAATGAGGGAGTTATTGATGGTGTTGATCGTGATATGCATCGTGGTTAGCGACAGATAATGGAGAGATTTGTAATGAGAGGTGCGAGTCATGTACAGAGATTAGTTATCTGGACTGATCAATTAAAGTAAATTGTGTAGCTTTTGACGGTGGTACTAGATAAGTATTCATTCCAACAAAAACCAAGGGAGACGGTAGATACGAGCAAATACACTCAAACGTCGGGAAAGGACATGACATGAGGGGAGGGGATGCTGACGGCTCTGAATACACGAAGCAAGAAAGAGGCTAGAGGTATGCATCAGCCTCTAAACGTCTGCCGTCGCCTAGAGCTCCTTTTTGTCGTCTGCTGTTTCCTTGACCTCGAACTCTGTCGGCGCACAGATCTTCGCAATCTCAGAGCAGACAGTCTTCTTGTTGGATTCGAGCAATCCCGAGGTCCGGGCATCGAAGAAAAACTTTACAATGTCATGCTCGTGCTCCGCAATCAGACTCTGGGTAAAATTGTCACTTTGAAGAGAGCTTCTGGATAAAGACGGTTACCTGGCACATGGCCAACAGCTGATTCTTGTATTCTTTGTTGCCGACTGACGTTTCCATGCGCGTGTACTCGGCTTTCCCGCTCACCGACGTCACGTTGTACTTGTCGAAGAGATGATCCATTGTGCATACACGATCTACAGCTTCCTGCACGGAGAGTTCGCTCTCGACGTATGGCACTTTCGTCTTCTTCTTTCTCTGGTTCAAGATCAGTTCAACCCTCCCAACCTTGGAGGCCGATCCTACTCACCTTCTCGATAAGGATGGTCTCTCCGGCACGTGTTTGCCATTCGTGTTCAACCTCTCGTCTCATTTCTTCCGCGACTGCTTTACATGCCGAGCACTTAAGAGCCTTGTAGGTAGTCTTAACTTTCTGTGAATCTGATTAGCAAACCTGTGCATCGTGCATTGAACAAATGCCTTCTTCTTTCCTTCAACCGAAGGAAACAGTGCAAGGAGCACGCATAAGCATACAACCAAGAGATGTGTCTTCCTGCAGTGCATATTAGACATTTTAGTGGTACGACAAGTCAAACAATAGCAACACACCTCATCATCACTGCACAAGTCTCAGTATCGTTGTCAGGACGTGTTTTGGCCGACTAATCAGAACGAATCCATGCGGAGGTTGCTTGATATCAGCAGTTGCAATACTCGAGACTCCGATTCGTCCTAGGCATGACCAAGGTCATGACGAATTACGATTTTTGATGCAAGGAATGGGATCTTTGTTCAGGGTTCGTGGCAAGGGCGCGCAGTACGGACGGGATACAGGGTGCTGATCCCTTGGAAGTATGCAAAGGATTCCGTTCTCAACACACTACATTTCTGCAACCAGCTTACTTTCTACACTTCTGCCACCAGCCTACTTTCTTATCGAACGTTCTACGGACTCCTTGCCGCTCCTCTTTGTCATAATTCCAATACGCAACAAGGTGGTTAATATCATACTGTCTCAGTTGTAATCCACACGCATGCTCTGTCTTTCCCTCGTTCCCAATTTTCTGACAGAGAGCAGAGAAAAGAGACAAACACATTTTTTTCCGATCGACTTCTTTCCTCTTCCCTGCTCCTTTTCTCCATCTCCAAGCACTACCGGCTCCTCCTTCCCAAGCATTTCCTCCATGCCGTCATCGTCCTGGTGCCACGCGTCGGGTAGGATGACTCAAGTCTGTCGTGGGGTCCTTCCGGATACAAATTTCAACATGTACCTTTTAATTATGAAAATGAAAAAGATGCCCTGACGTAATGTTTCAAAAATAAGTAGACCCTGACGAATATCTGGTAAAATATTTCCCAGACAAAAGAACGTTCTGGCGATCTCGAACCCGGCTTCACTGCGAGTCCTCGGACCGACTTGCCAGCGGCCCGGGCCGGCCCGGCCGGGCCCGGGCGGCCGGGCCCCACACGGTGACCCGCCGGGACCGTACGGATCGGACTACGGCGTCACCATCGTCTCATATGTGATGCATATATGATCGGATGCAGTCCGCCAAAGTAAGATGAAGTTTTATTACCGTCACAACTTGCCGTCGCTGAGTCGGATTAGGATCAGCGACGAGACTTGGACGGTCTCCAAACTGAAATAAGACGGAAAGTATGGAGAGCGACGCGAGTCAGGGAGAAAAAGTTGAGAGCAGCGAGGCCCCCCCCAAGCTGAACTACCGTATGTTCCAGAAATCCACATGCTTGAATTCGCCAACTTGACGCGACAAGTAAGTGGTATTGGGGAACTTTCCAGACATGCAAGGTTCTTCACTCAACTGATGTTTTTCTGGCATCCATGGAGCGCAACCTGAACAAATATTGGGCCACAGCGACATCAAGTTTGGGGTTGTAAAGCACAAGGCGTTGTGAAAAATTTCATCTACATGAATTTCATTTACATACAGATGGATGTTTGCTTCTTCAGCTACCTGCCATGGCGATTTATCAACGACTGGGGAACAGAAAAAAAATTCGATGGCTGGGATACTATTGAATCAACGTCTTGAAGGAATAACGAGATACGATCTTTGCATGCACTATACACGTTCACTTTTGTGGTATCGGCACCGCAAACGAAAGATGTGTCATAATCTCATAAGAGTTTGTATGATGTCCATGAGCATGTACGCGTCTTACCGGGAGACCCTTGGAAATATCTGCCAATATATCCCTGTCTATAAGTACCGAACGTGATAAATATCCGCATCAACGGTACCGACGTGAATCCACCTTCCCCGGTTGTCGTACCGCTGCCACAGAAGTTCGACCATTGCTGGGTACCGTACATATCTATGGCATCCTGGCCGTCGCTCATCTCGATTCAGGCTCACCCCGACCTCTTGTCTGCTTGTTGGTTCATACCAGGGGTTCATACCCCTACTGCTACTACCCGCGCTGTTCCACACTATTCGATCTATATTCGATTTTCAAGCTGTTCATTGCCTGCAATGTCAAGGTCATGCAACTTTGTCTATGGAGTGTGAATGTTTTTGGACAAACATTAGAAGGATTTTCTGGGTCTTCTTCCTCAGAACTCTCTTCAGTAATTTCAGAACCGGATACCCCTGATTGTCTGAATTGAGATGGATGGGCCCTTTCCGGCTGAGGGTTCTTTCCTCTTCCTTTCTTCGAGGCTCGACAAGCAGTCTCAGAGATAGAAGTCTCTAGCGCTGGCTTTGGAAGTCATCGACAGGATCCGTGTCAGTCAAAGATATATCAAAGGACGTATCTTTCTGTTACGTTTGAAGGCTTCGTGGTTGCAATTGATACTCATTTGGAAGTACAGTAGCACTGCGCATGTGAAAGGTAAGAATCATGAGCTGGGAGATGGGGGCTTGCGAGGCGTTGCTTTTTGCAAGTCGAAAAAAGAGAATACGTAATGTACAAAACATTGAGCGCGCTGCAACGATGACATGCAAATGATTGATATCGTGATATAGGTCTCACGAATCCTTCATAGGCTATGGTAGTTGCACGATTGTCATCATTGCACAGGCTGAATTTAATTGGTCGCCGCCTTGCCATTGCGATTTATCCGAGTTTGACAAGCCTGGAGTGGGGTCTCGCCGTGTGCCGAATCAAAGGGTGGGTAGTGGACGGGGTAGTCACTGAGTGAACTAGGGTGGGGTAGTGGACTGGTCCCGCGGGTGTGTGGTGTTTCCGAGGGTGGGGTAGTGCACTAGAGACCACCCTAACCTTTACTATCCCACCCTCGCCTTCACCGGACGGCGGATCTCTATTCTGAAGCCGAGGGTGGGGTAGCGCACTAGTCCGAAACAGCCGAGGGTGGGGTAGTGGACTAGTTCCTAGCTCAACTCATCCACTTGAAGCGTCTCAGACAGCAGACGCGAGCGCGTCGTAGGTCAAGATGTGCCAGATCTCCATCACAGTCCTGATCCCCATGAGCGTTGTCAGCATGGCTCTTGGCTTGGCTCTCCTGATTGCTGGGATCGTGGCGGGAGCTCTCAAGGTGCCTGACAACTGCAAGCAAATCGAATCTACGTACAACACTGGATACAAGCATGGAATGAAAACGGGATACAACACAGGATTCGCTGAGGAATTCTCTTCAGAGTTCAACTCAGGATACAACTACGGATACAACTCAGGATACAACACAGGGTTTAAAAAGGAGAGGTATTACCTAACAGCAGGTAGCTATGGTTCATCTAGCACCCAATCGTCGACATCTTGGTATTCAAGTAAAGGTAGATACAACTCAGGATACACGGGAATCAACTCGCCTTGGTACAACTCGGGGTATAGACATGGACACGACGATGGATACAATTCTGGTTCACATGTGGGACATGAATCTGGATATAACATGGGATACAACATGGGTTACAACTCAGGTTATCGCACTGGTAATAGTTCCATCAACCAGGAATTAAACTACATGCAAGGCTTTTACGCAGGGGCGTACGACAGCAAGAATGCTTTGTCAGGAAATAATCCAACATACAAGGCAGAATACGATGCTGAATACAACTCCTCGTATCAAATTGGAGACAAACAAGCAATCACAGCAATCAAAATGGTTAGGGACTATGACTTCACTGACTGTTTTCATTACAGAAATGTGGCCATTGATGGTACCATCACTCTAACATTGCTGGGATGCGTTCCTGGGTTTACATGCCTTGTCTCTGGAGCATTCGGCTTCATGGCCGGCAAATACAAGAACAAGATCGTGGGAGATGTGTCTTTTACGCTTCTCATCCTCTTCCTACTCAGCTCTGTTGCGACAGTACCGCTTCTTTTCATCTTAGCTTACTTTCATGCTTACAGCTACTGCGGTATACGTTTTCTCGTGTCTTGCTTCTTTGCTTCTATGTTGGCATCATCTGACTTGATCTTACACATACAGACGCATATCCAGGGAGTTACTGTGAAGGTACTTCCTTCTGCAAGACATACAGCAGAACGCTCTGGATCATCGTGTCGCTGAATATCGTCCTGTTTTTGTTCGAGCTTGGCATTTCGATCATCTGGTGCTGCATTTGCTGCTACCCTGATCAGGACAGAAGCAGCTCGACGGCAGTCACAGCAGCACGAGAGGAATTGCCCATGGCCAACGTGGCATCGGACGTGGTCCATCAACAACCAGCAAACGCACACCAGGGGAGACCGCGAGCAGCAGGCGCGGCTAATAGCAAGACCGGAGCAGCACCGCAAGGAGCGGCAGCACGCAAGTAGTGTACTAAGTGTTGTGAAAAGTAAAGCATTGAAAGGATGCGAAGCGAAGAGCATAGAGAGGGAAGCGGGGAGGGAAGGGCAGAGTAAAGGGATGGCTGGAAGAGATGTAATAGAAATATCCTACGGGGAAAACCAAACGTGAAATGCATACAGCAGAATTGCGTGTCAAGCGCTGGGCAGCGGCCGTGGAAATTTTTAAAACTTCGGATAGAAATCGATGAAAGAATACACGGATGTCTTACTCCGTGGCTTTGCTTGTGCAAATGTGCTTTAAGAGGATCTGATAGTCAAACCAGCAAATTTTCTTTATGTTTCTGTGTTACGTTCTTCCTCTTCTGAAACACTACATCCGTAGTACGTGCCCTTCAGCTGCTCGTTGCAGTCGTGCTGCTTCGGTCTTGCCATGGGTCGGCCCCGCTACTCGCGTTCTCTCCTGGTGTGCGTTTGCTGGTTGTTGATGAACCACGTCCGATGTCATGCTGGCGATAGGCAGCAGGTCAACTGCAGTATTGTCTTGACCCCACTCGTTAGGCCGACAGCACAGAACGCATGTGATGATTGAAAGCGCAAATTCATAGAAGAACAGACAACCATTCAGTATCTCGATCGTCCAGAACACCCGGATGAAGGCATCACAGAAAGTGCTACCGTTGAAGGCTGTATATCCTGTGAAACAAGGCTGGTCAGAAGCAGATGAGTTCGGAGACTGTGGTTAGGAGAGCGCATGGAAATCTCACCGCAGAAGTAAAGACCAGCCAAGGATATGAAAGGGAGTAGTAGCAATGCTAGCAACGAGCAGATGAGGGCGACAATAAGAAGTGCGAGATAAAACCCTCCCACTATCTTGCTTCTGTAGATGCCAGCTGCGATTCCTAAAGCTCCTGAAACTATGTAGAAGAAAGCAGGGACACATCCAAGGAGAGATGCACTCAAAACAGAACCCCTAGCGGAAGATGATGCAGCATTGCAGTCGCTGAAGGGATAGTAGTCTTCTTGTCTAGCTGTGAGTGGTGAATATTCTACACTTTGGTATCTTGCTTTGTACTCCAAGCTGTATTCTGATTTGTATGCAGTACTACGGTACGACCCCGAGGAGTACCCCGTGTTAAAATTGACTCCGTTTTGAAACGAGTCGTGCCCTTGATTGTATCCCGTATTGTATCCCGTGTTGTATCCCGCATTGAATCCTGAGTAGCCTGCATTATATCCCGAGTTGTAGCCTGACTGGTATGCTCTGTAGTAATTCGATGAAGAGTATCCCGTGTATTCTGAAGGGTACGTGTTTGCATAAGAAGCCGATGGGGCTAAATTATAGTAAGTCCCTGCATCAAACCCTGCGTTATATCCGTAGTATCCGTAGTTGTATCCTGAGTTGTATCCGTAGTTGTATCCTGAGTTGAAACCAAGATTGAAACCAACATTGTACCCATTATCATATCCCGAGTTGTAGACATCATAGTATCCAGTGTTGTACGTAGATTCGATTTGCTTGCAGTCGTCAGGCACCTTGAGAGCTCCCGCCACGATCCCAGCAATCAGGAGAGCCAAGCCAAGAGCCATGCTGACAACGCTCATGGGGATCAGGACTGTGATGGAGATCTGGCACATCTTGACCTACGACGCGCTCGCGTCTGCTGTCTGAGACGCTTCAAGTGGATGAGTTGAGCTAGGAACTAGTCCACTACCCCACCCTCAGCTGTTTCGGACTAGTGCGCTACCCCACCCTCGGCTTCAGAATAGAGATCCGCCGTCCGGTGAAGGCGAGGGTGGGATAGTAAAGGTTAGGGTGGTCTCTAGTGCACTACCCCACCCTCGGAAACACCACACACCCGCGGGACCAGTCCACTACCCCACCCTAGTTCACTCAGTGACTACCCCGTCCACTACCCACCCTTTGATTCGGCACACGGCGAGACCCCACTCCAGGCTTGTCAAACTCGGATAAATCGCAATGGCAAGGCGGCGACCAATTAAATTCAGCCTGTGCAATGATGACAATCGTGCAACTACCATAGCCTATGAAGGATTCGTGAGACCTATATCACGATATCAATCATTTGCATGTCATCGTTGCAGCGCGCTCAATGTTTTGTACATTACGTATTCTCTTTAATCAGGGGCATATTACTGGTAAACCTCCATCACATTCTTCTGATTCATCATACAATCGTTGAATGTTGAGGACCTTCTTGTTCAGATGGCCGATCAAGGACCATAACACTAATGGTGTAGAGAGTTCGTGAATTGAAGACATAGCCCCCATCTCCCAGCTCATGATTCTTACCTTTCACATATACTGGCAGATATTTCAAAGGGTCTCCCGGTAAGACGCGTACATGCTCATGGACATCATACAAACTCTTACGAGATTATGACACATCTTCCGTTTGCGGTGCCAATACCACAAAAGTGAACGTGTATAGTGCATGCAAAGATCGTATCTCGTTATTCCTTCAAGACGGTTGATTCCATATCCGAGCCGCCATCGAATTTTTTTTCTGTTCCCCAGTCGTTGATAAATCGCCATGGCAGGTAGCTGAAGAAGCAAACATCCATCTGTATGTAAATGAAATTCACGTAGATGAAATTTTTCACAACGCCTTGTGCTTTACAACCCCAAACTTGATGTCGCTGTGGCCCAATATTTGTTCAGGTTGCGCTCCATGGATGCCAGGAAAACATCAGTTGAGTGAAGAACCTTGCATGTCTGGAATGCTCAGGGAAGGCCCTGGGGTTATCATCGTACATAGGATATCTTCACTTCATCTTCATCCTGTGCTTGCTTCCGAATATCCCGGAGTCCTGCCGCGGTTCCCCGGCAATGCCATTTACTTGTCGCGTTGGCGAATTCAAGCATGTGGATTTCTGGAGCATACAGCTTGGGGGGGGGCGGGGAGGGGGTGATGCTCGGGGGGCGAATCATCTCCTCCTTCTCTCGCATCCTTCCTATCGCGTGCTTGCGAGCAATGTCGAATCGCTGCCGCCCTCAACTTCAGTTTTCTCCCTCGCGTCGCTCTCCACACTTTCCGTCTTATTCAGAGCATGTCCAAGTCTCGTCGCTGATCCTAATCACCCAAAGCCGGACCGTCCCCGGACGACTCAGTGACTTGTGACGGTAATCAAGTTTCATCTTACTTTGGCGGACTGCATCCGATCATATACAGTGCATCACATATGAGACGATGGTGACGGTCAATCCATTTTTGGCCGAAACAGTTCTGCACAAGCATGTTCTGAAAACATTTCAGACTTGTGGTACAAGGCTGGAAGCACTGAATCAGGCACCGCACCTTGCCCAGGCTGGGCCAACTTGGCAAGTCACGTTGAGAGCCCGGCGCGACTCCACTGATGAAACTTAACTTTGAGTAAAGATGAGACCGTGAAATTACCGTGCCTGAACTTCGGAACTTCTCAACGTCTCCAAGAACTTATGTGAGTTCTTACAGTACGGTCTTAGGAGATGTCAGTGTGTTACACGGCGTCGGGCCGTGGGCCCTGCGGCCGCCGCGCCGGGGTTGCCGGGCCCGGGCCGAGACGAGGCAGGCTCAGGCAACTGAGAGTCACCGGCCGGGCAGGGGGGTAGGGGTAGGAGGGTTGGATGGCTCAACAAGCGAAGGGGCAGTGGGTCAGGTATCACTGATTACCGGGAGAACCAATTCAATTTCAATACTTTCATCTTGATTTAAGTTGATTTTGTATATTTGAAATTTTAGTATGACACGAAAACTATAACTATCAAATATGTTGGAAAGAGCCTTGCGCCGGAAATTCGATAAGGTGTGGAGTGAATGCCATGCGCATAGCGGCGTTGCTCTGCCTCCTCGCGCTGGCAGGAGCGAAGGAAGGTGAGTGATAGGTCATGATTGAACTCGCGTGAGATGCTCTCCCATCATCCCTCTTGCTCTCTCACATGCATCACAACGCGCTCTACAATGCCAGCTTGTCATCATCAGTCTGACTGTACTCACGCAGGTTTTCAATCATGGGGTGGAACTTTTCGGTTTAGCAAGATAGCATGGAGGAGAGTGGTAGACAATACAGTCACATTCAATCTAGAGGTTGCTTTCACAAGAAAGGTGGACACTGGTTACTTTAAAGGCTCCTCGCTGGACGGCTATGCGAGGGTTGGAGACAGCATTACCATCACGGGTCAAGCAACGCCTGAGTTCAACTTCGGCGATGAGACTCTTCGGCGGGATCTTGTCATCAAGGTCACTGCGATCTCGGAGCAGGAGGACTGGGTCATGGGCGAGCTTGACATAACACATACATACGCTACTCCAAACGACAACGGGAACCCCTGGTATGCCAGTTTCACAGGTTGCTGCAGATATTTCCGGCTATCAAACAACGCCGATGCACCGTGGGAGTTGATCACCACTGTCGACTTGACTGTAGCCAAGGAATCTCCACGTGTGAACATGCTCCCAGTTGTTACGTTGGCCTCTCAGTCTGTCGATCCTACCAAGACGCAGCCTTACTTTCAAATACCTGCGATCTCCCCAGATGGCAGCGACCTCTCCCTCAAGATCATCGATGGCAATGATAACGGCAATGCGATCAAGTTCGATCAGAGTGCCGTCGTGTCCCTACCCCTCAACCCTTTCCTGACTCAAGATGCCATGGACTGTTGCGATGGGAAGGCCTCCAGTTGCCCTGTAAGTTCTCTCAGCGCAAACGTGTTTGCATTCACTGTCATATTCAGAAATACATCAAGAACAACTTTGGCGCATCCCCAGGCTGTCTGGGAAGATTGTTAAGAACCGACAACGTGTTACCAGCCTTGACTGTGAGTTCGAAGCCACCTGTTGTGTCAATGTTCTTACGACAACGGTGTCAGGTTGAAGGATGGTTTTACTTCACCAGCGTCGGAGGGGGGGTCCTGTTCACAGCAAACGACACGAGCTGTCGGCAGAATTGCGAGGGATCTCTATTGTGAGCTACCTGATGTTTGCGACATACTTCCCTTACAGTTGTGTTGATGTCAATTTCGGCTTACGAATTTGTGCTAGAACTATCGCGGTGGACCCTTACTCCGTTATTGTTGGACACAATGTTTGGGATGCAACAAAGAATGCTCTGCAGTTCCAAAACGTGACCTTTCGGTTCGCTAGCAACCCCAATGTCGGGACGGTTTGTGATGTTGTTGTACAATCCATTTGTCTTACACAGGAAATTGCAGAATAGCATGCAGAATATGTTCGTGCATATTGCAGTTGTGCGCAAAACCATTGTAAATTGCTCTTCGGAAAACTGTGGAGACTGGTACTCTACGTACAAGGTTTACATCAACGGGTAAGACCTCAATTCCGAAAAGAAAACCAGCTGAAAGCTTTGCACAGACATCTTCTTGGCATCCGCGATTATCCGCGTTGCATATCGGGACAATCTTGCTCGATTGGGTTGCGAAATCGCAACTGCCAAACAACTCCGGCAACATGCTCAGCCGAGTTAACGATTGGAGAGTCGAACCCAGTGAGTTGCTAGACTCATCTCGTGCCAGGACTGAGTCATTGCTAGATTGTTGGACCACGACGTGCGAGCGCCTTGACTGGCCCAGGAGCTTCGTGCAAGACTCTCTCAGGCTCATCCATGTATTGTGCAGACAGCATGGGAAGAAATTCTAGCATCATCTTCGGCAGTGCAAGCACAATAGGGGCGTATGGACCCTTCGAAGGGTAATGGACGTTTGCGCTGAACACGACCTTACGATTCTCGCAGGTATCTGGACGAGTGGCGCATATGGAATGGTGAACGTTCTCAATCCGACATCAAAGCTTGGTATCAGATCAAGCTAGACCCAAGGACTTCGGACTTCAATGGGGATCCAACGGTCATTCTGGACATGTCGATGCAACCTATGCAAATCAACAAGAACAATTTCGACAAGATGTCGTTGTTGTTGGCTTCCTACAGCTTTGACGCCAGGCTCGCTACCTCCTCTACGGGAGTCACATGTCGCATTCCTGGTTGTAGGTTCTTGAGCTTCAAATCCACATTCCCCGACATCGGCAAGATGGATCAGAGCTGGATTGCAGCGTGGACAGCTCCAGTGAGCCCTCAGACAGGAAACGTCGTGATGGCTGATATTGACAACACGGGCTACGTGAAGCAAGGGTCGGTCGCGGTATTGGATCCGCAAGGAGGATGCATGTGTGGATGTCCCTTCTTCGTGGGGAGCCGGTGCGCCATTGGCTCCAGCTACAGCATCCTCCCTGGACTATACCAGGTCTCGATCCAGGTCTCCAGCTCACTAGTCAATGGTCCTAGCACTCCTGTCGACTTCATGCTGAATGTTCTTGCTTCCACCTACGACTCGGGGCACATGCGGCTGCTCAACAAGGATACATTCTGGGTAAACCAGTACATCCCGGACAGCGACATTGTGGGAAGCTTCAGGACACTTCAGTTAGGAGGAGTAGTCGAGATGGTCAGCCCCTCGCTCGTTGACGCTCGCTCGTTGCAGTCCTTCTTGTACCCGCAGATTGTGCAGACTTATGCGAACTTCGAAATCAAATTAACCTTTGTTGGATCTGATGTGCAAAAAGACATCAACGGAAACATCGACACGAAGAACACGCGGGTGAGTCTTCTACTCGTTGTCTTCGCTGCTGCTTGTGTCTCACAGGTTGTCTCAGGTCTCCTTCACGCTCTCTCACGCACCTCCCGAAGCTCAATTCTCTGTCGTGACGGGAATGAACCCCGCACATATGGTAATGACGTGGACCCCTTGCGAGAGCGAGTATGGACTGAACATCTTCTGCTTCAACGCTGTCGATCAACACATGATCGGGACGGTCTGCAGCGGTGGAGCCCACGAGTATTGCAACAGCGACCTCACCGCCAACTGCACCTCGGGAACTTGCAGCACGTACAACCAGTATGACACGTCAGCATCGTCCAGAATGAAGTGCGCGCGAGTCAACGTGGTTCAAGATCCGGCACCCTACTTTGTGAGCATGGTCCCGTCATACAAGGAGTTCATCGCCGGCAAGGAAGACGGCCTCATCGTCTCAGGACAAGATGACAACTGCTTGGACTCTGTGAGGATAGAGATCGAACCCTCCACCCCTCTCCCACCCGGTGCCATGTTCGGCCCCCAAGAGAGAGTCTCGCTAGGAGTGGGCAAGGACTGTAACGGAGTGCAGCGAGTGTTCAAGTGGAAGCCGGACGTGAAGACAGGAGGCTACAACCGAACGACCTGCTTCCGCATCGTAGACACTGGGGGCGACTCTTTGTGCAGGCCGCAGGCACCTCAGAGCGCTGTCACCTGCATCCTCATTCATGTTTTGCGGTGCAAATACGCCCTCCAGCAGAACCAGCGGCTCCTCGACATCGCGAGCTCCTTCGGCATCAGCTGGATGCAGCTGTGGAGTGCTAACTTGGACCTCCACCATCCCGACTACATCCTCTACCGATCGCAGGTGCTGCAGCTGGGGCACCTCTACCACGTCAAGGGGACGGAGACCAAGGATGGGCTGGTGGCGCGATTCGGCATGAACCTGCAGCTGCTCCATGAGCTCAACTACGATCTCATGTCGTCCAGCAGCCTCAGCGCTGGCTCCCTGGTTTGCGTCATTCCCAACTCCTGCACCGGGATGGCGTCGACTGTGTACCAGGGAAGCACACAGAATGGGAACTCCCTCTCCTTCCCATCTTCGTGGGTCTGACGCTTGTACCCCTCTCCTCCTCTCTCCCTCTCGCGGACCGGCGCATCTCGAGATTCTTTTACTGTAAACCTTAGACCTTGTAAGTATTCAGAGCGATCATACCATAATGAGGTTTCTACTTCCCATAAACTTGTACAAGTAGGCGCTGACTGCCCTTCTCCCTCGTCTGCTCTACCGCCACTCCATTCCACCCGCCTTCACTTACTCTCCTCTTCGTCACCTTCTTGACGTTTGCTTGCCAGTCTTGTGCGAGAGTCTCTCAGGCACTTGCCCAAGTCGGCTTCATCTCTCTTACATGTCGGAGGAGTGTGACCTGTCGTAAACTCAGGGGAGGAGGTAGGAGGAGGAGGAGGAGCTGCTGCTGCTGGCGGTGGTGGAGGAGGACGATGACGAAGAGGTGGTGGTGGTGGTAGAGCTGGAGGAGGAAGGGAGAGTTTGACCTCGAAGGGCGTCTGATCCTCCCGCTGAAAGGTGAGCGACACAGTCGTGTAGGGTTGGCCAGCGAGGAGCTGAAGAGAATTAGAAAGGGCAGCGGAAGGAAACGAAATGAAGCAGGAATGAGAGGCAAAGGAAGGTGCGGGCTGGGGCTGGGGAGCAAGAAGGAGGAAGGCGAGGGTTTCTCACTCTCTTGACCCGCTGGATGGGTAGATCCTGAACGTCGAGTTGGTTGATGGACAGTAGTCTGTGGAGGAGAGCAGCTCAGGTTCTACTCTCTCCTCCCCGCTCCTCCTCCTCACCTGTCGCCCAGCTTCACCTCCTGGTTGGCATAGCCCTGACTGCAGTCAGCGAGCTCCTCGCAAGAGAAATGTTCACCTCCTCCGTGTTTCGCTTCCCCAGGTGGTCCATGAGGACATTGATCTCCTCGACCACGTAGGGCTTCTCGCTGCTGTCTTGCTCAGCGACCCTCCTCGTCCTCCACTGCTGCTCACCTGCTGATGTACAACCCCAAGACTGGCCGCCGCAGCTTCTCTGAGTCATACCACAGCGGATTCATAAGGTTCCAACTAGTGAAAGACTGTCAGGGTGGGGACGCGATCGGCCGTACAAGAGCCACCTCGAGATGTTGTACTTCTCCCAGTCTTCCGCCACTTGCCCTCCAAGAATGATGCCTCCAGCAGCGCATACCTGCCACTTGACATCACTCATGACAGATGGAACTGCAGTCGTACCCCGATGCATGGCCACACTATCACCTCCATGGCGGGACGAACTGCGCTCAGGGTAAGGAAACGAGGCGAGCACTTGAAGGTGAAAATGCAGGAAGATCAAGAGCAGAAGCAATCCTGATGGGGGCGAGGAATGGAAGAACTTTTGCAGTGCCAACGACTCCAGGGAAGCGATGGAAAGATGAAGGGGCAAGGAAAGAGCTAGGAAAGGAGATAGATCAACGACGAGATATTGTCTCCTCCTCTCGCCTTCTTCGTTTTTCCCTCTTCCTCCACATGCTTACTCTCATGTTTCCTCCCTGTCCCTTCACATCCTCCTCTTCCACTCCTTCCCGATGCTCCGCTCGGCCTGCATTTTCTCAGGCGACCATGTGCTATCCCACAGGACAAACTTTCTAACTCTGATTATCAAACTTTGAAAGAAAGTTTCTCAGCTAATATGATTTGAAGTTTCAGGTCAAACGATGGCGGGAACCATGGTGGGACGGGTGGGACAAGACGGAGGCGGTGGGGTGAGAGTTGAGGTATCAGCGAGCATGGAGTAGCTGAGGATAAGAGGAGAGAGGGGGAGAGGGCACATGTCAAAGAAATCCTTCGATCAAGAAGGGACGAACTCCCCCCATTCACTTCCTGTTTCTCGTCAAATTTTCGCTCCTTCGCAACCTAAAATGTCGAAGCCGAAGCAACAAGAGAAAGCCAACAGCAGCAGGCCTTCGGAAGTTGAGCTTGTTCTCAACCGACCCGGATCCGCTCAGATGACAAGCTTGGATCTTAGTGACTATAACATCACCTCCCTGGCTGCCTTTCAGGTCTCGATCTCTTCCCTTCGAAGGTTGAAACAGATAGACATATCTAAGAACTCAATTTCTTCTCTCAAGTACATTCGAAGTCTCCCCATTCTTGAGACGGTGATATGCAGCAACAACGCGATGACAACCTTGGTGGGCCTTGAGGAATGTCCTATGGTTCAAACTGTTGATGCTTCCGACAATGCCATCACAGTCATCGGGGATTTGCGTCACTTGTCGCGTTTAAAGAACCTGGATATTCATGGAAACTCCATGTCATCCATTTCCTCTCTGCCTCACAATCTGCCTGGATCGCTCAGCACGCTCAACATTTCCAACAATGAGCTTGGAAGCCTCTCAGACCTGCGGTACGTTAGTTCGCTCATGGAGCTCCGACGCCTCGATCTTCGGTAGGCCTTGTCTCCCGCATGCATGCCGACCTGACGTCTCCTTGCTCAGAGCAAACCCTATCACTTCTGCCATCTACATGAAGGGGATTGATCACAGACCTTTCGTTGTCTTCCTTCTACCTCGGCTGTCCACTTTGGACGATAAGCCTGTCTCGAGGCAGGAGTGGGCGGTCTCACGAACGCTCTTCTGTGAAGAGCCAGGCATCTTGTCGGACGCCCTCATGGCTCTCCTCCAGGTCTCCTTGTCATGTTCAACTCCCCGGTTTGACGGTTGTCACCCAGCCCGCCAACGAAAAGCGCCTTAGGCAGTACCTCATGGAAAAGTGTTCCATGGCAGTTCATGAACCCTCGCAACATGCCTTGACAGCACATGATGCCAACATTGATGAAGAGCTGGAGAGTAGATCGAGACCCTCAGGGTTCAGAGCACAGAAGCGAGACGATGGTGCTGTTGTTGAAACCCTCCAGAGCCATTCTAGCAAAGGATTTAGCGACAGGGCCGGTGCATCGTCTCATGCCAGGATCCCGTTTGCGATGGATGGCGTTGGACTGTTAGCACTGGAGTCCGAAAATGGAGAAGCAGGTGACAAAGCTGTTGATATCCATACACTTGCGAAGCATGTTCGGGAAATGCGAAGGTACTGAGATTGGGGAAGGGGAAGGGGAAGGGGAGCAAGAGCTTTTCTGCAGGACGTTGGGGCGGGAGGATTGAAGTGAGAGATGATTGTCACTGTGCGATGTTGTTAGGTATTTCAAAGTTTATCTGAAATCGGAGAATCGGCGGAGGAATGCTTCAGCAATGAAGATTCAAAATGCTTATAGATGTCATCATTCACGCCTGATAGCCAAGGTGGAATAGATTGGCTTGCCATTCTCTTGTATCTACTTTGTCTGAGATCTGTTTTCTTGTCTGAAGAAGGCTTTCTCAAGAAAGCAGGATACGAGCGACGAGAGAGATCGGTGCGTTGATTGGTGTCAATGGATATGAAACTTGACTTGTGGTTTCGCAGATGGATGCGATGGCCAGACATTGGGACTTCCACCTTGCCAAAGATCTTACTCAAATCAACAGTACGACCTTCAGTCCGAGATGTCTGCGCAGCGAGGTAAGGAGGTGGTTACGTGCGTGCAATCGTCTGAGAGGGGTTGCAAGGCTTCAGGCCGTCGCAAGGAGCTTTCTGGTGAGGAGGAGATTGAAGAGATGGAGGGGCGACCTAGCGTCTGTCTCGAGGGGAACGGCAGGTGGTACTCCCGTTGTCTTGCCTCGCTTTCCTGACGGCGATGGAAGAACGGCTGGAGGCGGATACGGGCATGATGCCCTCGTTCTTGCGAGGGAGCAAAAGGCGAGCAGGTTGCTTCAAGTCTACACATCTTCCAACTTGTTGACAAACATCAGGAGCGAGGCCCTCCGCTCTCCGTGCAGATAGCCTTCTTGACGGATCATGGGAGATCCATGCCCTAAAGAGTCAGATACAGATGTTGACACAGCAGGTGAAGTCTTGCTATGTTAACGAGTTTCACAACCACCTGATATCAAACAGCTCGAGGAGGAGCGAAATGCTCGATCTCGGCAGGACGAGGCTTTGCGCATCTTATGGAACGAGGTCAGAGGCAGGAGGAGGAAGGGGGGGAGAGGCACTCGGAGTGAGCAAGAGTGCAGGTGGGTCGACTGAGAGGGAAAGACGAGCACAAGGCAGCCATCAAGATTCAGGTCACTTTTAGGAGAGTGAGCCGGCAGTGGATGACCCGGCAGCGCAGAAATGCTGGAGAGGACACGATGACAGGGAGCTGTTCCGCATCGCTATGGATCATTACACTAGGTAACCCTCCTCCCCCTCTGCTCCGTATGTTCTGATTCGTCCCTCAGGTTCAAACTGGAGCGGTCCGCTGCTGTCGTGAAGCTCCAGAGGTGGGCACGGAGGGTCTTCTGGAGGTCCTTCGGGACCCTCTTTCGAATGCAGGACACAGCCACCCGCTGCCTTCAGCGGGTAGTTCGCGGCCATCGGTCGAGGAGGAAGATGGAGGGGCTGCTGGGAAACAACAGCCTCAAGCAAGAGATCCGCTACATCCGGGATGTGGAGATTGTGAGATTGCAGCGAACGCTCAGTGCAGTACAAGACACCATGGACCATGTGACAAGATCCCTCGCAATGTGGTGTGATGACTCGGCTGACAGGTGCTATCCATCCTCGGCCCCGCCATCGGGGGCTACGGAGTCAGAGAGGATGAGGAGAGCTGAAACATTCTGGTAGAGCACGAAGACGAACGGGCCAGGGAGTCCCGGGGAGGCAGCTAGCATACTGAGCCAGCTGCTAGTAAAACTGCCAAATGTCTGCTGAACCTCCTGCTGAACCCTTCCCGGGTAGTTCCGAAGTTCCCGAAAATGTTTTGATAATGAGCGGGGATGAGGGGAGGTTCTGGAATGATTCGGTGGTCGCCCAACGGTGGGTACCTGATTGTACTACCCTACCCCCTTTCACAGCTAATTATAGTGTAAAAGCACGGGTAGTGATATGGAATTGTCGTTCTACTCCACCGGTTTCACCACCGCGACAGAAGGTTTCCCGCCATCGGTTGCGCGCATGCGAGGGGTTTGTGGGTTGACGGAAGAGGGGGAGGAGGAGATGGGCGAGGAGGAACAGAAGCATAACCATGAAATGAGAGCCAATGAGAAAGAGAAGGGCGGAAAGAGCTTACAAGATGAAACTTCTTAGGCATGCGATGATGCATTCTCAACGAATGGAAGAAGCGATTACGCAAGGAGGACAGGAATTTCAGTGCTTTGAGCTCAGATAGGAATGTGCAGACCCTCCCAGACTCTTGTAGCTCTTAGTTGCCTGAAATGTTGGAAACGCTTTTGACTTTCTATCGTTCTCAGACCTCGTCATGGCTGGCAACACCAAGTACGATGACACACTCTTCGCCATGATGACTCAGCATGAGAGTGAAATGGAGTTCCTGAACACAATTTTCGGATTTTTGCAACGTAGAACACAATGCTTCAATGGACCGAAGGTCTCCAATGTTTCGCTGCCATGTCCATGGCATGACTTTCTCAACAGGCGGAAAACAACTTTCAGACGCTCATCAACACGCTCTCCCACCAGCTGGACGTTTACCGGAAAGCAGAGTATAAGAAGCAGCAGGGGATCGACGAAGATGACGAGGAGCTGAAGAAAATCGAAGAGGAGAAGAAAAAGAAGCAGCTTGCAGAAGAAAAAGCCGCTAAAGAGGTTCCTAAAATAATTGTAACTCGCTGATTCCTGCCTGACGCTTGACCAGGCCAGGGAGCTGGCAGAGGCACGAAAGAAGGAGCAGGCGGAACGTGAAAAGTTGCGCAAAGCCAAAGAAGAAAGGGGAGAAATACCCAAAGAGCCTGAAGAACCCAAGGATAAGGAATCCGAAGACGAAGATGAAGGCGAAGACAATAAGGGGGCCAAGCCGATATCCAACGGAGGAGTCACGGACAAATACACCTGGACTCAGACGCTGTCGGAAGTGCAAGTAATCATCGATTCCCAGAAGCTAGGGTTGCCGCCTGGAGTTCCATTGAAATCTCGTGATCTTACGGTCTCGTTGACAAAGAAGAAGCTCAAGATTCAGTTGAAGGGGAAGGAGCCTCTTGTGGATGGTGAGCTTCATAAGGAGGTCAAGACTGACACTTTCATCTGGACTATCGGTGATGCTTCATTTCTCTTCTATTCCCCCCGAACTTTCGCTGAAACATGTTTCATCACAGAGGATGCGAACCGGCTGGTGTTGAGCATGGACAAAGAGAACGGGATGGAATGGTGGAAATGCGTGATTATTGGAGACCCAGAGATCAACACTCGTAAAGTAGAGCCGGAGAACTCGTCGCTTTCAGATTTGGATGGCGATACTCGACAAACTGTTGAGAAGATGATGTTTGATCAGCGGCAAAAGGCAATGGGTCTTCCTACCAGGTAAGATCTCTCCTTTGATGTCCCGCTGTACCAGACTGACCATTCGATCATAGTGAAGAGCAGAAGAAACAAGACATGCTCAAGAAATTTATGGAGCAACATCCAGAAATGGACTTTTCAAAGTGCAAGTTTAACTAGATCTGCTCGATGTCATAATAAAAGTGAAGTTAAGACACTCAAATCTTTGATGTGAAATGATTGCACGAATAGAAATTATGATTGCACGAAGAGAAATTGAAACTGTGCAAACACATACTCTTCGATGTTGCCCTAGCCAACAGTTGAGTTTCCTCACAATCATTGAATCCTTCATCAACTTGCTCTGGCTGTTTAGAAAGATGTTTCATTCCAAATGAACAAATCTCTCTTTAAAAAAATAAGGAAGAAAAGCGTCAATGGGATTCTGAGGTGCTTTGAGCGTGCAGCTGCAGAAACCAACTGCTCAATCATGTCAATACGGAGAAATGTACGGCAACTCCTTCACAGCTTTCCCGTGTCTGTATTCGACTGAATTTCCAGTTTTCTCATCAATCAGCATCACATCATTGCTGTAAGAGACATGAGAAGCCCACTTACTCTGCACAACAATCGTCAGAAGACCCTCGGCAGTCGACAACAAGGCAATTAATTACCTGCTTCAACGATTCCATGAGTGGTTGGGAGGACTCTTGGAGAGTGCGGACACACATCTCGAACACCATTTCAACAGCAGGCGGAAAGACGGCAGGGAAGCTCTTGATATACACGAGGAGAAGCGCTCAAGCAAGTCAAGGAAAGGACAGACTCCTTCCTCCTGCCATGCAGGACACCAACCCGAAATAGCTAATCATTACACAATCCGCCTCAGATACCTCCACCCCTACCGTCTGAACATTGCAATTCCCATGGCTACCCCTACTATCATATAGTAACATTACCCCTGTTTGTTCACCCCCACCTCCTACAAAAACCTTCACCCTTCACCCCTGCCAAATGGCTTGAAATCACCCCTCCCCGCCTCCTTCTGAAATCTCTGGTCGTCCAAGAAGGCGGATCCTGCATGGAACGAGTCGAAGCGCTGGCAAGGCAGATGCAGGTTACCACCACCTCCTCCTCCTACTCCACCTTCCCCCCCCCCCCCCCCCCTTTCACCACCACCACCCTCCTCCTTCTATGCCACGACCACCACCTCCTCCTCCTCCTACTACTACTACTACTACCTATTACAACTACTACTAAGGATGCCAACTCATGCACCTCCTCCTCCTCCTCCTCCTCCCATGCCACCACCATCACCATCACCACCACTTCCTCCTCCCCCACCCCTCCCCTCCTTCATATACCACCACTGCCACCACTTCCTCCTCCTCCTCCTCCTAATTCCCCTCCTCTCCCTCCTCCTATACCACCACTGCCACCACTTCCTCCTCCTCCTCCTCCTAATTCCCGTTCTCCCCCTCCTCCTATACCACCACCACCACCTCCTCCTCTTCTTCGTAAGTTCTCTTCCTAGTGTTGACATTCCCATACTATCCTCATCCTCCAATCGGATTTTGACTTGTATTCATCTCACCTCTAAAGTCACATGTATTGTTTCCCGCACATTACTCTCGTGCTTCCTGAGATCCCTGATCAGCATGACTGACCTGCACCCCCAGCAACCAGCGCCGATGCCGAATCCTGGAAAGAGACCACCCATCACTTCGCATGTCCTGGACTGTGGAGTTGGAAGGTGAACAGATCTCCCCCTGTCTTAGACTGAGAGCTACGGTCAGACCAGCCGCCGACCTCCTCGTCGTCCTCGAGCAGAAAGTTGCGAACCAATGGCAGGAGGTTCCTTTCATTCTCCCCCGGCATGGGGACCTCTGACCGCAACCACTCTCTGGTAGATCGGTCGAGACAAAACCAACTCTGATGGAAGGTGTCCTAAGGTACTACTACATTTTGCTATGATGGCACGTCTGATCTCCTCTTCCTTCCTCCCTCTTCCTTGCCCTCTCATGATCTCTGCAGCTCCTCTCTGTGGACCACAAGCTGCAGCCAGGGATCTACCGCTGCACGTTCGACACGGCAGGATATTATGCTGCAAGTGGAGGGACTTGCTTCTACCCTGAAGTCACCATCGCCTTTGTAAGCTGTGGCCCCTCTGTCTCCTTCTCCGCACTCACAGGTATCGTCAGGAGATCGTCAATGTCAACGAGCACTATCACATCCCTCTACTGCTGAATCAGTATGGCTACAGCACGTACCGAGGCAGTTAACTAGTTTACATGGCTCCTTGGCTGGCGAGGATGGACAGCATTGCGTCGGACTGCACGAGGGAATGAGGTCGAGGATCGAAGAGGCAGGAAACGTACCGATTGGGAGAGAGGGATAGCCTCCGTTCTGAGGTCCAGCGCTGCAAGGAAGCCCTCTCTCTCTTTCGCTACCACTGACATCTGCAACAACAGAATAAACAACTCTGATCGTGTCAGCGTGCAGTAGTCGAGGACCTGCTCCTCGCTCAAGGCTTGCAGCTTGATCAGCTCGTCGATGATCTCCACCTCTCGTTTCTTCTCCGCCCGCTGCTTCACAGCTTCCTCGTCGTATCGCATGTACTTCTTCAACGCTTCCCTCTCATCTCCTTCCTCCCTTGACAGCGCGTACAAGTCCGCTGCCTTGGTTTTCATAGGAAGGCTCTCTCTTCCGTCGATGATCCTCATCAGGTCCTCGTGGTTCTGTCGCTCCGTAAACTTGCTCTCCTGCTCCTCCTGGGATTTCCCGGAGAGGATCTCCGGGCGTTCCAGAAGAATGTCGCTGTACGCTTTGAACGAGATCTCAGCTACCTTGACGGTCCCCTGGCAGCGGAGGGTACACGGCCATGGCTCTCCGAAGAAGAGCTGTCTCTCTCCAACGACGCTCTTTGGCTCCTGAATGTGTCCGAGGATTGTTCCGTATTGCTCTAGAGCAATCAGGCCAAGCTCCTTGTTCAGCTTCCGAACAGTGAATGCCTCCTCCGCCTCCTCCGCCTCCTCCTCCGAGGAAGGTTCGGACGGGTGTGATTTGGGCGTCATGGGAGCCTTTCCCTTACTCAGCAGAGCCTCGAGCGAATTCTTCTTGGGCTCCCGCTGCTGGGACTCGGTCAGCCTGTGCACGACCAAGGTCCCAGCAAGCAGTATGTACAAGGAACGAGCTCTCCTTCCGTCCTGCTCCTCATCCTCTCCCTGGTGGGCCAGGACCGAAGACGGCTGCAGCACAAGCACCTGGCTCGCTTCTGCCAGCCTCCTCCTCTCGTGACTGTAGAGATGCTTGAAGAGGTACGAGGAGCAGGTGTCGATCGACTCGATCAGAGGCTGCACGAGGGACTCACTCATTTTCTTGATCTCGATTTCTCTCCACCCCGGGCTGTTATGATCGACAGCAGGAACGAACTTCTCAAAGTGTTTCTTGTAGATCTTCTCAAACTCGGGCAGCAGGTGGGGATATCTCATCGTGAAGTACTGTCGTGCTGTGATGAATTTCCCGCTCCCAGCATACAAGGGTCTTCTTTCCAGCTGGATGTTCTGACAAGTGAAGTCACCTCGTGACTCAGGTACATGTTGCAGTGAAAACCTTTCCAGAAGTTAAGAGGTCGCCGACCTTGATGTACATTTGCTGCCCCTGAAAGACCTTCTCGGTGAAGTGCAGTTCCGCTACAGCATCGGTTCCCTGACATTTACAGAGTTAGCACTCGTACTTGGCATTTCGAGCAACACTTGCCTCTGGGACGACATCTCCTATCGCAACAAAGCAAGCTTCACCTTCCTCAAGCTCTGAAAGCTCATCCTTCAGCTTCACAACTCCAGTTGTTACACTCACTGTCAGATTGAACTATCTTCCTGTGCCCGTAGCCATCGCGTATCTTGATCGCATACCCTTCACAGCGTATGTCAGCAAGTGTGCTTCTGCCTCAAATGCTTCACCTCGCACGCTAGCAGTCGGGACATCGAGCTCGACGTACTTGTAGCCTGGCAGAATCTTCTTGGCGACAGGCTCAGAGCCCTTGAGCAACGCCAGGACCTCATCCTAAGAGAACCGTCAGGTGCTAGACTGATCTCAGTCTGTCGACTTACCCGAGCACCCGATGACTCCCTCACGGAAAAGATAGGCGAGGCGATGGGTGTTGAGCGAGCGCGGAGGGGGGAGTGAAGCGATCTCGATGGGTCGCCTCTCCAGAACGTCGCGTCCTCTAGCGCTGGCTCGACTGACATCGGAGAGAAAGGCACCTGCCTCACGCCGCTCGTGAACGTGTTGTTCAAGGAGGAGAGGTTCTGGGGTTCAGGGCTGGCGTTGGACTTGGGATACAAGATGTCCTACGTGACTAGGTCAGGGCCCTTGGCACGCGGAGGACTTGGCAACCTTGAAGGGTCTTGTCTTGAGTCTGATGGATCCCGCCTCTTGGTGTGACGAGCAGACGCTGCTCACGGCTCGATTGAACGTCACGCTCACGATCTCTCCCCATCTGCTGTCGTGAGGAGCCTGAGGCTTCCGCTCTGATGACTCGGGTCTTGGCAGCCATGTCAGAGGTCGTCAGAGCTTCAACTTCATCCCTCACCTTCGAAATCGATCGCCGTCCTGTTTGACTCTTTGAGAACTTTGCTTGACATTATCGGACTTGTCAGCATTTTTAAGGATGGTGCTCGTGATGTTCAAGTCTGTCATCGGAAAGTTTCCAGCCCATCCTTGCTTTCGGCGCTAGAGCTACAAGTAAAGAGATTGGATGCAGCTTGATGATATTGATCTCACCTGATTCGAGCTCGAGATGTTTCCTACTATCACTGACTTCCAGATGTTCTCCATTTTCTCTTTCAGCCCCGGTCGGTACCCTCCGCCAGCTCCTTTCTGAGACATCGTGATGGTGGGGATGAATCGGTCCAAGAAAACCATGACTCTGAACTCGCACTTGTCTACCCCGCTCATCATCTGCACGTGATACTTCCCCAGCGTGTAGTTGTTGTCAGTCGGCAGAACTTTCAGGTTCGTTTTTACATGCCAAACACATTTGTCTTTGGTAGGATACCCCAGCTCTGGGATGCGGATGTCCGGGGTGATGAAGCAATCTGGGTTTCCTTGGTCGACAGCAAGAGAGATTGCAAGGTAATGTGGCACGAAACTTCTCTTGTTTCCAGCGTTCAGAACTTTCATGTCAGACACATCGATCAAAAATTCTTTCGCGTCGTATTCTAACAAGCACATGGTCAGTAAAGCGGGAGGCTTAGGAGTCATCTCACTCTCTAGGGTGACCAAAAGTCCATCTTTCTTGTTGATAGGAATTTTCTCTGTTGTTTTCGTGCTCAGCCCCTTCTTTGCCTGATTGACCAACATTCACTTCTCAAGCCATTGATACAGCAACACACCTTCAGTTTCATGTATTCTTTATCGATCTGAGCAGTCTGACTGTCCTCTAGAGGAGCACTTATGTTGATCGATTCGTTAGGTCTAGCAGCTGTGCTCTTCATCTTCACCCTTCTGAACCCGCTCTGTGTGACTGTCGTGAACATAGAACGGTGCCTAGACCTGAAAGTTGAGATTTGAGTTTCTCCAATTTGTTCAACACAAACATGGCAAGGAGCAGCATGTGAGCACTTACTGTGCCTCTTGAAATCTGATTCGTTTCCTGATGCCTCGGGCAATATCTTTAGCTCCAAGAATGCTCTGGTAACATATTGAGAACTTCGAATCGTGAAGCAAGGAGCTCTCACGCCGAAGTCAAACTCTTCCGATGTCCTTCGTGAGCTTCTTCCTTTCTTCGTCATCTGAATACTTCCTCGCCTGCTCGTTGCTCCTTCCTCCTCATCCTCCTCTCCTCCTTCCCCCTCCCCCTCCCCACCTCCCCCAGCTGGTGCTCCACTTGCTTGCATAGGACGACCACAGCAACCGTTCCTGACCACCCCTACCCCCTCCCTCACTCTCCTAATAACAAAAACAACGAAAATACCCTATATCTTCGTACTACCCTCTTGACTTCAGTACCCCTTTTAATTCCATTAAAAGTACCCCTGAATGACTTAAGCAAAAAAGGGATGCTACCGGTAAAAATCACCTTGTAAAACCCTCCAGGGGAGCGGATCTGAAAGCCTTCAAGATGGGGGTGGGTGTACCCACAGTACCCGTAGCCCAATATGGGGTTGGTGAAGTTTCACCAATCGATGGTGGGTCAATCTCTGATTACCGGTATCTAATACATGCAAAACACGGACTTTGATACGGGTAGGTAGCGGAAGCTGGAGGAGGGGGAGGGGTTTTTCCGTTTGTCAGAGCATGGAGGGTGGGGTAGTCACAGGACCTCAAAGGGTTTGGGGGCAATACCGGTGTGCAATGGAACTGGGACGGCGATGGAAAGGAGGAGGGGGGGAGAGGAGGAGTGGGGGAGGAGAGGAGACGATGGAAAATGAATGAAGACAACTCCGCAACAGTGAAAAGTTTTCACATTGAACAACAGACAATGATGCTCCTGAAGTATAAGATATTCAGTTGCATGGTGCGGGCGGCGGTTGAACGCGACGTTGAAATGTCACGATAAATACCTGCAGTCCATAGCAGCCAGCACACCTTGTCGAAAGTCAAGTGAAACCAAGTTCATCCCATTGCTTGTTTCCAAGAGGAAAGCGTTCCGAAGTGAATCGAATTGCTGTTTGAAGAGTGCATAAGTTTCATTTACGATGCCTATCTTCGTTGGACACAACTCTAATCGTATTGTGAACGAGTCCATGGCTCAAATGGAGAATTCTGAAGGTACACATGACTGGATAGTTACGCATGAGTGTTGACTAGCTGGAGCAGGAACACGAGTGGGGCGAATGACAAGGTTTGCCTCGTTCAGAACACGGATCACAGCACACAAGATCGAGAACCCAGATGTAGGGGTGAGATTGCTTCTCGACGTGTGTTGTTACATGTTGACATGGATACCCAAGAGTCCTCTGTGGAAATTCCTGGAAGACAACGACTCTAGCAAAGCTGCCTGGTGGTGGTCCATCCTCTCTATCTGCGTCATTGCAATCAACTCTGTATCATTCGTCGTGGAGAGCCAGCCCAACTTGTGAGAACCGTGCCCGACGACCCATCTCCTCTAGTTGTTGATGATTGCTCAACGAATCATCTCTTCTTCTCCTCTTCTTCTTGATGATTGCTGAACGAATCATCTCTTCTCCTCCTCTTCTTCTTGATGATTGCTGAACGAATCATCTCTTCATTTCTAGTTGTTGATGGTTGTGCAGCTGCTGTGGTAACTACACCCTGATCTGGGACATCATCAACTGGGTTTGCCTTGGATTCTTCACGATCGAGTACGGGCTTCGGTTCTATTCGTGCCCGCTGTCGTATGGCTTGACCGGACCAAGGATGAGGGAAGCTGCTGTGTACGATCAGATGAAGGAAACTGGCAAGGTAGAGTCCATATTGCCTTGTCCTCACCTCATGTTGTGCATCGCAGTACAAGAGTGCTATTTTCTGGCAGTTCCTTGTGAGATCGCGGATTCGTTTCTTCCTGAATTTTCAAAATCTGATCGACATCACGGCAATCCTTCCATTCTACGTGCAGCTCATGGTAGGTGAAGTGAACGTTGACATCAGTGGCTGACGAATATTGTCTGCAAGCTGACAAACCCCGGTCCTGGGCTGAGATTTATTAGAGTCATACGTATTGTGCGTATCTTCCGACTGCTGAAGATTGGCAAGTACTCCAAGGGACTGAAGCTCTTGATGAACACGATGAAGAAGAGCATGAAAGCTCTGAGCTCCCTGGCTCTAGTGATGATACTCCTGGTTGTCATCATGTCAACGATCATATGGATGCTTGAGAGAGGGGTGTGGTGCGATGAAAGCAACAATTACTGCAGCGGATCAGGAGTCGATGAAGAAGGGAATTTCACTGCTGGATGGTATTACTACGTAGGAGCGTTTCAAGGATCGACGTACTCGGAGGGCTGCAGCACTGCTCCCTACTGCAGACAGCCGAGCAAGTTCACGAGCATCTTCCCATCAACTTGTACGGCCCTCCTGTGATGTCAGAGACTTGTACTGACACAGGTATGACAGACTGGACCCTCACAACCATCACAACTACCGGTACTTGAGTGCTCTGCCACCCTCCATGTGCTCATTCTGGCTCCTCAGGGTACGGGGATATGTACCCTCACACCCCTACCGGGAAGGTGCTCGGTTGTATCGTCATGCTGGCGGGACTTTTGCTTCTTGCCCTGCCGGTCACGGTGATGACCATCGTGCTCGATGATCGAATGCATGCTGAACGCGCTTGTTTGCCGGCGTCAGGTCATCAGCGGCAACTTTGCAACGGAGTATGCCTCGGAAGAGTTGATCCGGCTGGTGAAGGAGGAGAAGAAGCAGAAACAGCTGGAGGAGATTCAAAGATGGGAGCAAGAGTTTGATCATTCCATGAGCCAGGCGCCGGCATCCTTCGCTCGGTACTGTCACTCTCCCTCTCTCCTCCTGCCATTGTTGTTTCTCACAGTGAACGCGACAGGGGCAACCGCATGCTCTCCATGCCCGTAACTCCCACATGTACAAGTTTGACGAAGACGTCTGTGGACCTGACTTGTCTCCCAGCAAACACCGCCTCTTTCGTCTCACCGTCCAATGGCACGCACAACGAGGATGAATCTGCTGAAGAGAATCTAGGAGAGAATCATCATTCGAACGGCAGAGCACCCATCAAGTCGCTCTCCATGCCGACGGACCTGATCCTCTCCGCGCCTTCACCAGAGCTGTATGTCATCGGCAAACGCTTTGGGGACGAAAGTGATCCACAGGGTGCTTCTCTCCTCCCTCCTCCTCCTCCCAGAGTTCGACTCGGAAGCGTGGACTTCAGCGACCAGATCAACGAGTTGATGCGCCAGCATCTCAACTTGCTCATGGCAGAGCTCGAGGTGAGGACGATTGACCCCCTGGCCCTCCCCTGACATGTCGCCCTCAGGACCTGCTGGTCGAGAAAACCAAGGACATAGTGTCGGCCGTGTTGGAGGAGGAGGCCAAGGCTGAGCCCTGACGGGAAGGAGTCTAGGGGCACAAACTTGTAACATAACTTGTTGGTCATCCTTTGGATGAGATTTTCGCTGAATTTGTTAAATTTCCGAGGGAAAGAAGTTGGAGTTTCACTGATTGCAAGGAGGATGGAAACGAAAATCAGGTTCAATCTGTGTCTGAGCCAATGGGGAAGCGAAAGCACATCAGCCTAGCTGCTTCAGCGGCTACTTGTCCTTTATTGTACAAAGATGTCAGGAGCACGTCTTCGCATTCAACGCTTTTCAATCACTTCTTCGAACTCGGAAGTTTATGGTCTTGGATTTCTCTATCATCCCGTCGTAATCACAAGGATCTTCACCCCCCAATCTGCACGGTCGTTAGAGATTGGAACTGATCGGTTGCAGAAGAGAGGTGGCAAGGGAGAGATCGAGGAAGGAGGACGAGGAAGGAGAGAAGACCTCCTTGGCAGACAATCTCGTCCAACCCTGTCTCAGCCTCAGCAGTGCTCACATACATCGTTAACGTTCACCAGTAAGAAAGCTTCTCCTCCTCCTTCTCAGCAGCGAAACGAGTGAAGTGAACCTGAAAGGAGGCGACCAACGTCATGAGCATGCGGCATTAAACTAGTTCAAGTGGCTCGCACCTTGTCGCGGGTAGCAGCGTTCAGCCATGGCTTGATGAGAGGCCTTGAGACAAGGTCAGGGAGGAGGAGGAGGAGGAGGAGGAGGAGGAGGAGGAGGAGGATGAGGATGAGGAGGATGAGGAGGATGAGGAGGATGAGGATGAGGAGGAGGAGGAGGAAGGGTACCAGCAGAAGGTAGGGAAGAAGGTTGGCGCCTGGTGGATCAGCATGACCCCGAGCCTCTCAGGGTAGAAGTTGGTGAGGATGAAGATGAATCGCTTGACGAGCTCGTAGTCCACGTTCTTGAGGGAGGCCCCGCTCATGTCGAAGATGACGGAGAAGTGCGAAGGGTAGGGGTCCCTCAGGAGCCCCTCGGCCTCCATGAGAACATGGATGACGAACCTGGTCGTCTCGTCCACGGGGGAGACGTCAGGATCGTGGCGGCTGACTTGCACTACAACCACAGGCCTCTGCTCCACGTCAGCCTTGGACAGGATGTAAGACTTCTTCATCGCTATCTGCCGCCCGACCCCGTCCGAGGAGCTCGTGATGTCCGCCACGCGCTGCATGCCGTAGGCTGAGCTCTCCAGCCACTCCAGGTGCTTCAAGATGGACTGCAGAGCCGTGGTCGGGTCTTTGCGCAGGAGAAAGAAGCGCAGGAGGTCGTACTCGGACACGCCATCCAAGGACCTGTGCTCCTTCGCTCGTGCTTGCAGGAGTTTGAAGTCATCGGTTGAGAGGACGGCGAGCGGTAGCTGAGACTTCTGTGTGCCCGCTTCTGACCCCTCCGTCCCCCGCGCCTCGAGCTCCTTCTCTTCTTCCTCAAGGGCTCGCAAGATGGCATCAAACCACTGCTTCTCGATGACCCTCCATGCACCCGCACCTTCTCCTCTTTCACCTACAATCGCTCCCTGACCGCCTGCTGCATCGAGCATAGCGGCCCCGCCCCGCGTGCCAGCAAGCGTCATGTTCATGGTCGTGTTGATCAGAGGGCTCTCTGTCACATGTGGCTGGCTGACAAGGAGGCTGGATGACAAGAAGCCCTCCTCCTCCTTCCCAAAGACGATCTTGGATATCCGGGCCAGCCTCCTCGAGCCCAGCAGCACCTTGACGTCGCTCTCGTCGGAGCTGTTGAATCCTCTCAGGGCCTTGCGGACAAGCTCCAGCCTTCGGGAGCCGAAGAGCCGATTGTTCGTCTTTTTTGAGGCTCCTGCAGGAGAAATTCCCTCTCCCCCACCAAGACCAGCGACGTCCTCCTGCTCCGATCGCTGCATCCGCAAGCTCCACCTCCGAGAAAGACAGGGCGTGCATCCTCTGGTGGCGACAGGAAAGGGAAGATGCAAGAATGAAGACACTTCGGGCAAAGAGAGGAGGACGCAGGAAAGCAGGAAAGCAGGAGTCATGCGCTCAGGTCTGAAATCCCGAGGCCAACTCTATGCTCCTAGCATCAAGACAGCAAGACTTCCTTGCGGAGACGAGCAGGGAAGGAAAGGACCAAGACCGGAGATTACGAGACAGGGGAAGGAGGAGCTGACGTTGTTCAGGAACGAGCTTGTTGAACGAGAGCAGGAGCAGGAGCAGGAGCAGGAGCAGGAGCAGGAGCAGGAGCAGGAGGAGCAGGAACTTATAATAGCAACAGGGGTGGGTGAGTAGGGCGCAAACAAGGGGTAGTTTGGAGGATTCATTTCTTGGGGCAAGTGTCCGCATTCGATCAATTGCAGGCATAGAGGCAGCGAGGAAGGAGCGAAGGAAAGAGCAAGGTTGAGGGTGAAGGACAGCAGTGAGAGAAAGAGAGAGTAGAAGCATGTGCTGATGATGATATCTTGATGACAACATGACAGGGAATGTATGCAAGTAAAAAACTGAAACACGAAAGAACATGAAGCCATGACATCGTGGGCAGGTTTTATTAGAGTGAACAAAACTATTGTGTCAAGTAGCGATCTTCAGATTCAACCTTTCTCCTTCCCGTTTAGAGACCAAACTGTATCATCGACCTGACTTCCCGGTACACTCTCTTGCTTCGTTTGTAGCATGAGATCCCGTATCACAGGTCAAACAAAATTTTGCGGAAGTTTGATAGAGCAAACAAGAGACTGCATGGATATTTCAAAAGCTTTGAATTATGATGGAATCACATTCATCTTTGGCTTCGCACTACCTTTTGCAACAACTGCTCTAGTTAGACGTTTTTGTGCCTTTAACATCGCATTATAGTCCTGTACAATCCTTTCCTCCTATCGTATCCCCTGACGGAGCTTTCCGCACTTCTACCAATTCCTCTTGTCGCTCTTCGCCGATGAGCTTCATACTATCTTCTGCTCTGTCAAAGATCTCAAACAAACCGCTCTCGTTGGTCACTTTATACATGTCATTCTCCTACAAAACTTCCGCTCGCACTCTCTCACACTCCCTTCGCTTCCTCCATCTCTTTGCATCCAACAATTGGACCCATCACAGTTGAGACAATTTCTATCATCTCTACTCTATCAAAACTGTAGTGTGAAATGAAGACATTATTCAAAACGGGAGAAAGAATTGGAGGAGTCGAGCGACTGGGAGAGGAAAAAAGAGAAATCTGAGAATCGATCTGAGATACGCTAATACAATAGAAGGTGTCGTAGAGGACCCAACTTCTGTAATCTCTGATCTGTACTCAACACTCACTAGTCTCCAGCCTCCATAGATCTTGTCTAAGACCTCCAATTCTTTTGAACACCAACAGACGTTCTCGTCGTCATGACGTTCGATCACATCTACAAAACTTGGGGATGAGAAAGGGAGGAGAGAATCTGATTTCTCTCTATCGTTCTCTCCTCTGTCCTTTTCCTGCTTTCTTCCGTCTCCGCTCTCCTCCTAAAGCCGTTTTCCCTCCCACCTCCCGTACTTGCATTTCTTTGGGGACATGTCCCTACCAAAACGAGGGGTAGGGTAATCTTGAGGGTAGTGTGTGCAACATTTGGGTGGGTACTGAAATTATCATGTGGGTAGGGGTAATGTCAGCTCACTAAAAGTTGCACCATATCTAATTGATGGCATATAGAATACCAGGGGTACTCTTGAAGAAGTACTCCAAGATCACCGGTGATAAAGAAAATACAGGGGTTCTAATTAATAGAAGGGGGGTGGTCATCTGATGCCGTGTACAACCTTTGGGGTCTTGCAATGAAGCTTGCGGACTACCCCCACCCCCATTCGTGACAATTACTCTTTAGAGGTTGTGTCATTTTTAAAATAAGACCCTACCCTCCTACTTGAACAATCCTTGCATTCATTCATCGTTTATCTTTACGACTATACCCCTTTTCACTAGAGAGTTATATGAGGGATATTCTCAAAATAAGGACCCCTAACGACATCTGCGATGTCTACCCCCTATCCCTGGACCATCCTTTTAAAAACGCGTACCCCACCTACAGGAAATGCATGTTCATCTACACATGAGTACCCCCACCGTCCATTCTACTCAGCCCCACCCCCAATATCGCCAGTTCCGATGCCTATAAAAGGAAGGAGGGGGTAGGGGTTTTCTGTATCCCCCCATGGTATTAAAAGGGTCCCGTGGAAGGATCCATACACACCTCCTTTCCTCGTCCTCTGCCTTGTCAACCGGCGCTCTCCCTTCGACCAGGCTATCCTCCTCCCTCCCTTCCTCCACATCGGCTCCTTCCTCCCAGCGACGCACTCGTGGTAGAGCCTTCTCTGCCTGGACAAGAACTTTCTTCAGGAAAGAGCCCAGTACCCTCTGTGCTCTCTTACTCGGTGCGAATTTCATCCCCGTGAACGCATCCAAGGGTTTGTTCTCCAACAGACATCCTTTGCTCTTTGCACGACCAGCCTCAACCGACAGCAACAGCAAACCTTCAGCTACTTCTCCAACGATGTCCAGCGACACCCCTGTGCCCACCCTTCCCGAAGGCTACGTCGTCCCCGCAGTTTGGACTGAGCCTAACGACGGTCTCGGTGGAACCATGGGCAAGATGAATAGGCCTGTTGCTGGAGCGAGGTTTGACAAGCCTCTTCCACGTGGCGAGCATCCTCTTCAGCTCTACAGCTTGGGAACACCAAATGGACACAAGGTCACGATCCTCCTGGAGGAGCTTGGCATCGAGTACGATGCCTGGAAGATCAACATCATGCAGCTCGATCAGTTTGGATCTGAGTTCACCAAGATCAATCCCAACTCCAAGATCCCTGCCTTGCTCGACTACAGCGAGAACCCACCCATCCGCGTGTTCGAGTCGGGATCGATTTTGATGTACATCGCGGACAAGTACGGCAAGTTCTTCCCCAAGGAGCTTCGTCCTAGGACTGAGTGCCTCAACTGGTTGATGTGGCAGATGGGAACGGCACCCTTCATCGGCGGTGGGTTTGGCCATTTCTACAAGTACGCCCCTATCAAGATTGAGTACGCCATCGACCGTTACAGCATGGAGACTAAGCGCCAGCTCGATTTGCTCGACAAGCACTTGGCCGAGAACAAGTACATCTGTGGTGAGGAGTACACCATCGCCGATATGGCAATCTTCCCCTGGATCCGTGCCATCCCTGTCTTCTATGGGGCTACAGAGTTCCTTCAATTCCCTTCATACAAGCACCTCAACGTAAGTTTCGGATTTGTTCTCAATAGGAGAGGAGGGGATTGTGGCGACAAGCTGTTGGCATATACTCACGCAGTCATGCAGGCATGGATGGAGAGAGTTGGAGAGCGCCCGGCCGTCAAGCGCGGCCTGAAGGTTAGCATTCGCATGCAAACAAAACCATAATGTTGCTTACGTGGCGGTAGGTCAATGGCTTCACTGACAAGGATCTTGCCGAGCGCCACTCAGCAGCCGACTTTGACAAGCTCCCCAAGGAGTGAACCATGCCTGTCCAAGCTTGCTGATAGTACAATGATTGGATAGTGATGTGAAATGTGAGCTTTGTGATTCTAGAAGTGTCTGGTAAAATACAGATCAAATCGTGAGCAAACTCGCATTGTGCAAATCTTTATTCTACACGTTTTGTGCACCATCGTTCTCGATGCCCCGACCTCGGTTGGTCTGAATGCAGCAAGCAACAGTACTTCTAACACGGCAAACCACACACCCACAGCATGCCGACCACGATCTGCTGCTTCTTTATGACAGGATGATGCAGGTCGCTCGCACCAGTCAGCCCAACAAGATGATCCTTCCAGTCATCAGTCCAGCTCTTTTCCTCCTGTCTCTGACCTCTCCCTCCCCCCCCTCCCTCTGACTCCTCCCACTTCGGCATTGCGGCTTGGTTACAGTACGCTCACCCCCTTGTTGAGTAAACTGTGCAAGCCTGCCTCAACAACCACCCCACCCATGGTAGACAACGGGATAAAAGGGGTGGGGAGGGCACGTGCGAAAATGGCAGGCCGCAGAGCAGGGGGGATGTGGAGGGGACGAGGAGGAGAAGCGGAGGAGGGACGGGGAAGGAGAAGGAAGGAGTCATAGAGATAGTTTATAGGATGCAAACTCTCCGGAACGGCAGCATAGTTCAGGGCTGGATCATTAGCCACGTGCTGTGCCAATACCTCGCGCAAGTTTGGTTGACGTGATATCGTAGCGGCAAGGTGAGAAGAAATGGGGAGAGCGGCAAAGGACAAGCGGGACATCTATTACCGGAAAGCAAAGGAAGTCGGATTCAGGTGGATTATCTCTTTATCTGCTGTAGCTCACAACTTCCCCTCATTGCAGAGCTCGATCAGCCTTTAAGTTGCTTCAGCTTGATGAAGAATTCAAACTGCTCGAGGGTGTCAACCGCGTCGTTGATCTCTGTGCAGGTCGTCCTCGTCCTCGTCCTTGTCCTCGTCCTCGTTCCAACCCTTGTTGTTTGTTTTTCGTCGGTCTCGTCTTCGCCCTCTTCACTATCCCCGTCCCACTTCCTCGCATGAAGCTCATGACACATGCAGCACCTGGGAGCTGGAGCCAGGTTATAAGTCGCCAGCTTGCAGACAGGAGGGATCAGAGCAAGATCGTGGCAGTAGACCTGCAGGAGATGGCGCCCATCGAAGGCGTTACTCTCGTCCAGGGGGACATCACGAGCTCCGTTGTTGCAGACAAGATAGTGCAGCTGTTTGATGGACAGAAAGCAGGTCTTCAATCATAATTATTGTCTTTCACTTCGATGACATAAGCTCACAAGACATTGTCGTGTCCGATGGAGCTCCTGATGTCACCGGCTTGCATGATATTGACGAGTACGTGCAATCACAAGTGAGTTTGTTCGGCAAGTGAAACGTGTTGTTGAGTTTGACATCATGTTTGCTGCTGTACAAAAGCTCCTTCTGTCTGCTCTCAACATTACAACTGTCCTCCTGAGGCCCGGAGGAAGCTTTGTTGCAAAGATTTTCCGTGGAAAGGACGTCACACTCTTATACTCACAGGTATTTCATATGGCTCGATCAGTTTCTGTCGATGACGTCGTAGCGTAGCTGAAGATCTTCTTCCCCTTCGTCACATGCGCGAAGCCAAAGAGCAGTAGAAATTCGAGCATTGAGAGTTTCATCGTTTGCAAGGTGAACGGTCGGCTGCAGCGTCAGCGATTTCGTCCCACCCCCTGACTTCGCCTCTTGTAGGGATACTGCCCCCCTGCCGGCTACATCCCCTGCCTGGACAAACCGTGTGCTACTTGCCAGACCCTCCCATGCCAGTGATGAAAGACCGTTGCAGGCTCCTCGACTTCAAGTACGGCCAGGACGATGCCCTGCTGGGTTACAATCGCTGCATCGTGCCATTTGTTGCCTGTGGGGATTTGAGCGGGTGAGGAGCAGGAGAAGTAAAGTTTCGCTCCTGATGGAGGCGGACAGGTACGATCCGGATACAGTATATGCGCTAGAAGACGAGAGCATGGAGGAATCTGGAACGTCGTACACTACCAGGGCACCAGTGCAGGTTAGTTCTTCACTACCTCCTACCTTGTTCTTCCCCTGACAGTCGCGCGTTTGTTCCAGGCTCCCATCAACCCCCCGTACAAAGCTGCTCTCGATGCCAAGAGGATTCATAGCGTGAGTGGCGTCATCGTGCTTGAGGGGCTGCGCTGACGTGTAGCAGGCGAAGGAGAACCTAAAGGCTGAGCCGGAGGCCTCGCTCGACCCTAAGAGTACAGAGGCGAATGTTGAGGCAGCGATGGACGTCCTGTGAGATGTTTCTACCTGCTCCTGCGAGCTCTTCTAATTGTTGGGATGCAGCCACAGGAAGAAGAACGCCCTCTCCTCATAACGCCCTGCCAGGACCGAACTGCTCCCTTCACCTGCCGCTGTGGGCACCGTCAAACATGTACATAAGGCCGTTTGCGTGAAGTCTTGTTCAAATTGTTTCCATTAATAGGCGACTTGTCAGTCATTCTTATCTCCTCCAACTTCCTCTGTCTTGTCGCTCCTCATGCATAGTAGCCGACCCCCGGGAACCACAACCTGCCATCGCAACTGAGTCACCAGGCACCACGAGGGCGTTAGGTGCTGCTCACTTGAGGCGGAAAGCATCTCCTCCGTTCAAGTAATATCGCAAAAGGCGCCTGAAACAGCAATGAAACAGTTGTTTCATATCACCTTCCTGGCACTCCCCTTCCCACCACTCACTTCCTCCTCCTCCTCCTCCTCCTCCTCCTCCTCCTCCTCCTCCTCCTCCTCCTCCTCTCACTTATCGCGAAAAAATCCCAGGTTCTCGTAAAGTCGAAGAGCACCAGTGTTGCTGCACTCGGTCTCCAGAACGACCTGACACCTAGTCAGGCTTGAATCTTACAGCACAAGCTCTCACCTCCTCGCATCCCTCCGCTCTCATCGAGCGTATCGCCTTCCCCACCAGGCACGTTCCGATCCCTTTCCCTCTCAGATCCGAGTCTACCGCCAGCATGGCGATGTATCCCCTGAAGTAGTCCCGATGCTGCCAGCATCGGTTGAGGGGAGGTCGGGGAGCAGGTGCCAAGTACCTGCTCGAGCTTGCAGACGACCACACCGCAGCATTTCCCGTTGTGCCTGTGAGAGATGAGCGTCCATAGCAGGATGTTCAACGTCGCTCACATCGCCATGTGGGTGTGTTGAGGCCAGTTATAGATGAAGTATCGGTAGGTAAAGATGGAGTACGGCTCCGATAAATCCTTATCGATGAGAGCAACGATCTCTGCATGGAGATCATTCCCGAGGAAAGGAACGAAGATGCCTCACCTGCCATCTCCTCCTCCAGGGAAAAGGTCTTGTACGTGATACCTTCTTCAGTTCCTACCACACGTTAAGAACAGCCAGACAGGCCTCTCTGGACTCACCAGCTTCATGTGTTGGCAGAGGAAGGCGATTGTAAGTCGTCCGGTAAGTTTGCTCCTCGTCATACACACCCCGTTCCTGAGGTTCCTTGTCCTCGACTGAATGATGACCCGCGCTACCCCGCCCAGCTGCATGATTCATATGCCCCGAATCCCTGTCAGCGCAACTTCAAGGAAGGGTCGGAGCGACAAGCACGAGAGAACAAGTGATCGAAGGATAGAGAAGAAGGAATCGAAGGATAGAGAAGAAGGAATCGAAGGATAGAGAAGAAGGAATCGAAGGATATAGAACAAGTGATCGAAGGATAGAGGAGAAGGAATCGAAGGATAGAGAAGAAGGAATCGAAGGATAGAGAACAGGTGATCGAAGGATAGAGAAGAAGGGATCGAAGGATAGAGAAACACGATTTAACATGTTGAAAGTCAAGATGATGATCCGAGAGATGCTCGAGATCAAGAGGAGGAACAGGAGGGGGATCCAGCAAGGGGACTAGACCTTCGGCCGTCCTCGGAGTTCTCGAGCTGCAGTCTCTCGACCTCCTTGTGAATCTTCTCCTCGAGCTTCGCCTGCGCTATCCTCCTCCTGATCGCCTCTCGCTTCCTCTCCCTCTCCTCCTCCTCCGCATTCTCAACTTGCCCGCGCTCCATGCATGCAATCTTCAGAGGACCCTCCTGGTGCGGTACCCCTGTAATGTAGTATGGAATTCTCGGGGTGGGGTGGCAAGCAAAAGTCAGGATTACCCTCGGGACGATGGCGCGCTGAGGGAAGTAGAGGAGGGAGGGAGGGAGGGAGGGAGGGAGGGAGGGAGGGAGGGAGGGAGGGAGGGAGGGAGGGAGGGAGGGAGACAGGGAGGGAGGGAGGGAGGGGAGGGGAGGGGAGGGGAGGGGAGGGGGGGGGAAGTTTCGTGGGGTTGCTGACGTGTCTTGTTCGTTTTGTTCGAGCGCGTGTCGGGGGGGATCGTTGAGTCTTCCTGCGTGTGAGTGAGTGTGTTTGTGTCTCGGAATCGTATAGATCGATCCTTCCGCGATCG